CTTTAGTTATAGAGAACCCTAATACTTTTTGAATGACAACTAATTTCAATTTTTATTGAAATTATAAATTACAGAGTGTTTTGTTTAAAATTACGCTTTGTGTGCAAAGTTCTTAAGATATTATAATTGTAAATTGATGAAATATTAACTTTGAAAATTTTGTCTCATGTCAAAATTTTTGAAAAATATGAATAACTCAAAAATATGAAATTTTGACCATGATACCTTATTCAAATTTTATATAGAATCTTATCTTCTTCTTTGGGTGCCGTGTCCGTATTCAGACGTTGGCCGTCATCATGTTTACAATTTCCTGAAACCTTTCTCTGTCGGCTGCTGCGCGAAATAATTCGTCTACTGTGAAACCACACCATTGTCTAATATTACGCAGCCATGAAAGTTTCTTTCGACTAATCCATCTCTTTCCTTCCACTTTTCCTTGTATTATAAGGCGAAGTAAATGGTATTTGGGTCCTCTAATTATATGGCCGAAGTATTCTGTTTTTCTCCTCTTTATGGTGTTTATGAGCAGACGTTCTAAGTTGATCATTTGAAGAACATCTTCATTGGAAGTGTGCGAAACCCACGATATCTTTAGGATTCGTCTATAGCACCACATTTCGAATGCTTCTAACTTGTTTAGCATTGTGGTTTTTAACGTCCATGTCTCACAACCATACAATAGGATCGACCACATATAACATTTCAGGACCTTCTTACGAATGTTCATTGACAGGTTTCTGTTGCATAAAACTGGTTTCCAGGTCATAAAAGCCTTACGTGATATTTCGATCCTGGATATTATCTCTTCATCAGAGTCACAATTTACATTTAACCAGCTGCCAAGGTATTTGAAATGATTTACCCTTTCTATCTCTTCTCCATTAAGAGAAAGCAGACCTTGATCTATATGGATCTTTCCAACTGCCATCCACTGACTAGATTTAGTAATGTTTGGAGATCTTGTAAACTTTCTTCAAGAATGGCTGTATCGTCAGCGTATCTAATATTGTTGATTACTTCTCCACCTAGTCTTACTCCCTCTTGTCTGTCATCCAAAGCCTCCCTAAAGATTTCTTCAGAGTACAGATTAAAAAGAGTGGGTGACAAAACAACCCTGCCGTACTCCACGTTTTAATGGGTATTTTTTCAGTGGGGCTGTCTCCAATTTGGATAGAGGCTACTTGATTGTAATATAAGTATTTCAGCAGTCTTATATCATAGTGGTCAAGTCCTGCTGCCCGTAGGCAGTCGAAAAGTGTATTGTGTTGGACTCTGTCGAACCGATCGATGAAACAAACATAAACATTCTTTCGGAATTCACAACTTTTTTGTAATAGAACGCGCATACAGAATAGTGCCTCTCTAGTTCCTAGACCGTTTCTAAATCCAAATTGCTTATCACCCATCTTATTTTCGCATAGAAGGAATACTCGGTTTTGTATAATTCGTAAGAGTATCTTCAGTGTGTGACTCATCAAACTGATTAGTCTAAAATCGCAGCATTTGGTGGGCCTGCTTTTCTTTGGTAATGTTATAAACAGTGACTCTAACCAATCATCTGGTATTTTCCCTTCGTTGTAAAATGTGTTAGATGAAAGGATTTGATCTGGTCTCAGGTGCTTTATTGTTTTTAGCTTGCTGTATTGCCTTTTCGACTTCCGAATTCAGTATATTGGGACCTCTGTCCAACTGGTTGTCATAGGCAGTATTTGGAACATTTTCCCTAGAAGCATCGTCAAAAATGTCAGTGATGTATCTCTCCCATTCTTTGCACTGTTGTTCGTGATCACAAATTTTTCCGTCCGCGCTTTTAAGTATGTGAGCATTTTTCTCTTTTCTAATTCCGGCAGTATATTTAAGTTTCTTATGCAGGTTGAAGCTGTCATGCTTTTTCTGGAGGTCTTCTATTTCTTTAGAATTGCATCAGCATGAATCTTATGCAGAATCTAAAAATCGATACACTTAAAATAAAATTTAATGTTCGATAAAATAATTTTTATTGTTTTAAAATGTAATTTTTGCTTTTAAATACAAAATTTATCTTTGATAAGAGATCTATATTTTATAAGACTCTAATAAATACCAAAAATGTCAAAATGTAATTAAGTATTTATTTAGAACTTTTAAAAAATGAGATTAGATTCCAATGAGGTATCCAACTCTTTATTGGTTACAACTGAAAAAAAAATACTGGTGGAGCTCTTAAGATTAACAAAATTGTAGACTTGTGCACTTTGTTAATTTTACATTTGCTATACTAATGTCTTTGATTTATTTATTATTGCTTATTTAAATAGATTTATTTTATTTTATAAATAAAATTTATTTATAAACATTTTATAAAAATAAAAATAGGTCTTATATACAGGAACCAGGAGGAATAGGAATAGGTCTTATTTCGAAAACCATATACTTTAGGCAACTTATAATTTGGACAGAATAATATTTTACAAATATAAAAAGTAGGTACGCTAGACGAGAGAATATGCGATAAGATTGGATTTTTTTTAAGATAAAGCAATGTGTAATGATAGAAAACGTTTTTAGAATAGTTAAAGGTGATTTATTATTTAAATTGTGAGGCATAAGTTAGGGATACAGCTTAATATTAAATAAACAATAATACAACAATTATACAACTGTATAAATCAATTAAGTTACGTATCTACATCAACAATAAACACTAGTTTTTTTTTATTGAAAGAAATAAATAATATAATTAAATTTGTAAGTTGGTTATAGTTTATTATACTTATAAAACGAAGCCGAAAAATTACTTGAAAAATAAAAAAAATGCTTTGCACTATTTTTTAACTGAAATATCCGGGGGAAGTCAATAAAAAAGGCGTATTATTTCGTGGTTATCGAAATGTTTACTGCGCATGCCATTTAATAAAAAAAACGACTTTTTGCATTCATTTCATGCGAAAAGCTACGTATTCTGGATAAAAAGTTTCAACAGACGACTGTCTTGATAATAATCTCTCTTTAAATGAGATTTTCTAAATTAAAAAATGTTTATAAACAAAAAAGTCATGGCAAATTAAACCAGAAAGTAAGCATGTTTTTCAATTGTTTATAATTATTAAAATAAACAGTCTTCTTCTTTACGTGTTATCTTCGCGACGGAGGTTGGCAATCATCATGGCTATGCTGATCTTAGATGGTTCAGCTCTGAATAGTTCAATTGATGTGCATCCGTACCATTCCCCTAAGTTACGCAACCATGAGATTCTTCTCCTTCCTACACTTCTTTTGCCCTGGATGTTCCCTTGTATAATTAATTGAAGTATATTGTATCTTTCATTACGCATAACATGCCCCAGGTATTGCAGCTTCCGTGTCTTAATGGTTTCCAATATTTCCATTCTTTTGTTGACTCTTCTCATGGATTCAAACTCGGTCCATGATATCTTCAGGATTCTTCTATACACCCACAGTTCAAATGCTTCCAACTTTTTAGTAGTCAACGCGTTAAGTGTCCATATTTCAAAACATCCTTAAAATAAAAGAGTATGACATTAAAAAAAGTCAAGATTTTTTTTTGTTCAGATAATTCGGTTATTCTCTATCTATAGCATTGTCAAAGGTATAACGAGCAGAAAAATCTTGTTATTTAGATTTGCTGGTTTGCTCTATAAAATACTGTAAAGTAATCAATGCTGTTCTTGCCTCTTTGATGGAAATCCATGGAGCGCATGTTAGTATCATATAAATCATTGGTATCGGTTTTCTGAGCTACTGAAATAATAATTTCGTCATCAAATAATGTCCCAGCAGTCATAACTACATCATCGCACGTAACAAAGTTCTCAAATGATACTCCTGATTCAGATACCGCTGTATTCCATTCTGCAGGAGGTGAAATAGAAATATCTTCGTTTTAAGTTTCCTCTATCGACGACGATGGAAAACCAGAGTGTAGTACACATCAGTTAATTTTATAGTAGTTGTACTTACATTTCGGCAAATTTTATCAGAATTTTTTATGGCTTGCAATACATCTATAGTAGAATTCTACTATTTTTTTTTTACAAAATATTCTCCCCGCCATATTCCCGACAACATAATGATACCTTGATAGGCAGTAATTTTGATGTGGTATTGGCGGCAGATATTGGATTTTAACTGCTTTCATTTTTGGAATATCATTATGGGGTGTGCAATTACTCTTCTTCTTGTGGTGCCTATCCGTTACGGATGTTGGCTACTAGCATGGCAATTCTAACTTTATTGACTGCAGCTCGAAATAGTCCTGAAGTGGTCAAGGAAAACCATTGCAATTACTAACGAATATCAATATTTTTCTTTGGTCATATTTTGGCTTTTTTGTAACAGTGATCCACTAACATTGAAATTTTGGCTCCGACTGTATAGCTAAATAGATTTAACTGCAACGGTGACGATTTGACACGACTAGACACGACAGACGTTGGTTGATGCGGTGTTGCCTAGTCGAATATTATTTTAGAGGTATTGAACTGTAATATTAATACTCCATAATTACTGTAATGAGTTTATAATTATATTTATTATCAGAGCGCTAATATCAAAGTTAAAATGTTTGAGGTAATTGATAAAATATGTTATTTGCTAGTTATTAGTCATAATAAAACCGAGTATATAATTTCACGAGCTTGTGCACTCAGAATCCGATGTTATCGAAGTTATCCGACAACGTAGCAAACGCACTAAAATTATGTCCAATGCTAAATATACGGATGTTTACGCTTCGGGCGTTTGCGTACGACTAACTGTTGGCTCCTCCCTTTATCGATGAAGTGGCCTTGTACGTTGCAGCTATATCTGTTGAGTTATACTCACACCATTTAAATAAGCACAGAAATTTCTAAATTGGTCGCCTTTTCAGGAACTTGTCATAAAATTATATTATTAAAAATTATATATTATGTATCAATTAAACCTATCAATACTGCTCTTCAGTTGTAATAGTAAAGATTTTAATCAGTAAATAATATTTATATGGTAATTCATAGGATTTGGAACATCTACTGCATCTACACCAAACCCCTTTGGAACAGGCCAATTATTTGGTAAACCTGCAGGTGGATTTGGAAGCCCTTCAACTTCTGCATTTGGACAACCTGCAACCACGTCACTTTTTCCATCAAGTCAAGCCCAACCAAATAACTTATTTCAAAATGCAGGTACTGGTTTTGGAACACCCGCTTCCACACCTTCTACAGGATTTGGTAAGAAAATAAAAACTACTCTTTATTTTGTATAAACCTACAGTAGAAAAATTGTAATTATTTATATTTTTAAGGAACTGCTACCCTTTTTGGACAACAACAACAGCCTGCTGCTGGAGGTCTTTTTAACACTTCTTCCACATTTGGTCAACAAAATAAACCAGCAGCATTTGGTTTTGGATCTCAACCTGCACAACCAACTCTATTTGGCCAACAAGCAGCTCAACCACAAACATCTGGCATATTTCAGCCTTCAACAAGTAATTTATTTGGCACATCTTCTGCATTTGGACAACAAGCTACTGGAACTGGAGGTGTGAAATTCAATGCTGTAACAGGAACTGATACAATGCTAAAAAATGGTGTTTCCAATAGTATTAACACTAAACTTCACAGTATAACTTGTATGAAGGATTATGAGAGTAAATCTTTTGAAGAATTGAGATATGAAGATTATGCCGCAAACAGAAAAGGTTAGTAAAATATATTCAATTTAAATATTTTGTTGTTTACCACATAGAAGCAGCCAAAAAAAGTAAAAAGATTTTTTGAAAGAATCTCTATAAATCACTAAGATAAAATCGGGAAGAAAAAATAAAAAGATATTTTGCTCCAAAAATATATTTCCAGAGTCAGTAGGTGTGTGAAGTTTTTTTTCTTGCGAAAACACTTTATCATGAAGATCCCATGAATTAACATATTTTGAACAGGTCTTTCCTGGTGTTACCCTACTTTTGTTTCAAAATGTTCAACTGAACACAAACTGCTTTTAAATTTACACATAGTTTCAAAAGTTATGCATCGCCCAAAATTTTCGCTGTTATTTTTCAGAAACTACTGTTATATATCATTTATAAAAACAACTTGATATTTTTTGTTTTAAAAGAGATGCTGTTTTTTTTTTCATAAATAAAAAATTAAAAACTAAAAAATTATTTCTAATTAAAATGAATTAACGGGTTCATGATGGTTTCTAGGAAGGTTACTTCGGGCATGAACAGCTCTGGAGAGCACATCTCGTCACACAACGTCTGTCTGAAGATAGTCATTAACCACTTGATTCCTATGTGGGTGGGCGTTATCATATAGAAATACAAAATTTTCACCCACAGCTCCTCGTCATAATCTCACATGAGGTTCTAAACTCAGTGTGATGTACCTTTGTCCTATTACAAGTACCTTCAATTCCGTGCGTCCACCTGTCATAATACTTTCTAAAATATAACACTGCCACCAGCGATATGAAGTATGTGCTAATTGTGCAGCTCTTGTTGGCTCTCGCCTAACACGAATTCGCCGACTATCACTATTTAAGCAGATTCTGGCCTCGTCTGAAAAAAGCATAAAATTACGAAACTGTTGAGGTAGCTGTATGTGTTCTTGAGCCTACTGGAGGCGGTTCAAAACATGTCTAGGTTGTAGCTGAGGAACTCTTATTGGTTGACGACCCCTCAAACCTGATTCCAAAAAATTTTTTTCTTATTGCACCAACGATACTCTAACTCATGTAGCATGCCTGAAGTTTCTTTGGATGGTTGGTAGAAGAATTTCTCCTAATAGAAATTCTGATATATCTTATACAGAAGTTAAAACACTTCACATTTGTATTTAGGTATAAAACATATAATTAAAACTTTTAAAAAGTGTCGTCAAAATTGGCACAAATTTAGTGTTAGCTTCAATTACATAAGAAGGTACTGAAGATGATCTGATTAGACCGAAAACGTCACGTTATGCTACTGTATAAATTTTGACGACACTTTTTAAAAGTTTTAATTATATGTTTTATACCTAAATTCAAATGTGCAGTGTTTTAACTTCTGTATAAGTTTTTTAAACGATGGTATACAGCCAACTACTAGGATTTTCCCATTAATTGTTTCTGATATATCTATTCTGTTGCCCATTGGTAACTGGGGTCTATCAGAGCGAGCTCTCTTCTTTATCGAATTTGTCTCCAGAAACCTATTCCATATCCGTGAAACATCACACTGAGAAACAGCAACCACGAACCGATGTGAATGGCCTTTTTCAACTAGAGCGATACTTTTACACGATTCGACTAAGAAATTAAATTATAATTAATTTTAAATGACGTTTTCACAAATTTTACAAATCAATCAAAATCAAATCAAAAAAGGTGTATTTTATATCGAAAATCGTGAATATGAGAGGTGATGCATAACTTTTGAAACTTTGTGTATGTTTTAGTATAGCAGAATGGTTAGAAATCAAAAGGAAAGTAATTAAGTTCTACCCTACCAATAGGCAGTAAAGGAATTAGTGCAAGACTCAAGTAGTAATTCCCACAGTCTGATACATATCCAAAGAATTCAACGGAATTTCAAAGAAAAATTCTTGTATGTATATAAAAATTCAAGAATAATACAATACAATAATTCAATTCAATATGAATACTAACCATTGCTGCTGAGATCTATGTCCGTGTAAAAGCAGGAGTCAAATAGCTGCTTCAAATAAAAAATAAAGTGACAGAAATTAGTAACACTAGAAATATGTAAGCAGACAATTAAAGAGCGTTTTTAACTGTATAAGTTAAATGCATTTTCTTAAGAGCATGAAACTTGGAATGACGGTTCTTCTTCTTGTAGTTCCTTCTCCTATCGGAGGTTGGCTATCATCACAGCTATCCGTACCTTATTGGCGGCTGCTCTAAAAAGATCTACTGAGCTGCAACTATACCACTCTCTTAGGTTTCTCCAGTTTCACAGGAAATTCTTCGTCTTTCTATGGATCTTTTACCCTTGATTTTACCTGGAATGACGATAATTGAAATCAAATATGATTTAACAAATGAATATTTTGCTACTTTAATTCCTTTTTTAATGTTAAAGAGCACATAGAGAGTTAGTGCTGATTGTGAATATTTCATTTCGCTGTCATGCAAGCAAATACTTATCCGTACGTGGGGTGTCTTGTAACGGACTTCTTAAACAAAATACTGTTAATTGGTTCCGGTATTTCCATAAACTGGAGCACACTTAAACATTTCAGGAATCTGTTAATGACAAAAACAAGCTCCAGAATTTTAAGTGTGGAGAATACTAAATACGTTAGGTATGCTTTAATTGAAATATATTATTCCCCAAAATATTGAAAGTAATTACCATAAATAATGACCGAATTATCGTTATTAAAATAATGGAAAGACATATTGGTGACAAAATTGGTGGACTTATGGGTGTAGTTGAAAATAATAATTTATGTAATTTTATTTTATCATTAAATACCACAAAATTTTTTTAAAATATTTTTGGTTTCTTTTTAAGTTGGTTCAAAATGACAAAAATGCTATAAAAAGGCATTAAAATGCTCTATTTTCATTTACGTATTGATTTATATAAAAAATGTAAATCTACCTTTTAAACTTCCTTGTTTATGCTTTACTAAATTTTACTACAAATTAAATAATATAACGAACAATATGTGCTGAACCAGGAGCAAATCTCATAAACCAATTTATTTTAGGACCTCAACAGCAAAGTGGATTTGGTGCAACGCCATTTGGAAATCAAGTCTCGTCCGCCCCGTCGCTTTTTGGACAACCTGATGCTTCTAAGCCAGCATTTACTGGGTTTGGTCAGAGTACAACAACATTTGGACAAAACACTGGATTTGGAATGCCAACTCAGCAACAGCAAACTGGAGGACTTTTTGGAAAACCGGCAACAGGTTAGTGATAATTTTATATGAAAACAGAATAACAAAGGCTATAACTCCGTTTTTTTATGTGAGCTACCAACCTTTTTCTAAACTTATGATCCAATTATGATAAATCGAGTTGATGTTTCGAAGCAATGAGTTGAGTCACAGAACGTTTACTGTTTCGAAACATTGAGTCAGTAGGTGTCATATTTGATAATGATATGTATTCATTTAAAAATGGTAATGAAAATCTATACTACCAAGAAAAAAAATTAATGAAATAAAACCAGACTAAACATATCTAACCTACACCTAAACACCTAAACAATAAATTTGTGCTTAGCAAGCTCAAATCTCTAATCTTCAACAATCCTCATAACATACTTTAAAAATCACATTGCTATCAATCACGTGCCTTACAGAAAATTAATCTGCACGAAATATTGTATCTTTGCATAGTGACTGACAACGAATTGTTATGATATGAAACTACTATTATGAATAATTGATGGATTCGACCGTTACTTGATGGAAATTCATTTTATGTAACAATAAAACATTGAAAACTTTGTTTTCAAACTTCCAAAAAATTTATTTTAACTATTCTCACTACAGCTGTTTCGTCTGATTGCCCTTTCTCAAGTGATCTATTTTTGGCATGCGTTTACACTTTATAGTCTCTAATGAAATAGGTTGAGGAGGGAGAACTGTTTGTCATTTGCAATAACAAATGAAGAAAAGGAACATATGTTAATATAAAAAGAAAAATATAATTTATTCGAGGTATCAGACAGACTATGGAAAACTAATAAGTATGAATGAAATCTTGGGATATTCTTCTATGCGAGATGATGAAGGACAATATGCAAAGTAACTTACATCTAATATAACTCAAAAGTTAAATGCGAACATTCGTACCGGACGCTACCACTGAAAATACCTAAGGTCAAGCATACAGAATAAACTTATTAAAAAAAATAATAATGTCATTGTCATTATTTTTTACATTTTTTGTAATAGGGTATATAGTTCAGTTATCAGAGATTTAACCCCTAAAAAAACATACGAACAAGCTGAATTATTTTACCGAAAATATCAATTTTAGGATCGTAAAAAAGATGTAAAAAAGTTTACCACTTTTACCCGGGTTTCTAGCATCGTAGTGGGGTAAGAACTCAAAAAAATCGAGTCACCAAGATCCTGTATACCGTAGAAAAAAATACTTCAAACAAAAAATGTAGTTGAGATGATTTTAAACATAATTGTTAATTAGCACTGTTTCTGTAGAATGAACAGTTCCCGCAAAAACAACGCCTGAAGCGACCGGTGATTTTGAATGTCAATTGCGTGCGCGAAATTAACGTAACATAAAATGTGTATCAAGTCGACGGTAAAAATTTGATCTTTTGATCAGAGTGTCCTAACGACAAAAATCAAAATGCGTTTTAGGGCGAGCGCCCACCAAAGTGGCGTGGCAAGTAGCAAGAAGCACGCGTCTAGCATGTTACATAAAATGTAACCAATGCAAACGAATGATTAGATCGAATGACGTCACTGTCATTTTGGTGTGCGTTGAATCATTCGTTTTCATTGGTTACATTATAAGTAACATGCTAGACGCGTGCTTCTTGCTACTTGCCACGTGCCACGTCACTTTGGTGGGCGCTCTCACTTAAAGGTGAGGAGTGCATCGAATTTTGTAATTTTTGTATTTTGCCGCAAAGAAAGTCAGTTTTGTATAAATCTGTTCAATAAATAATCATTGCGCAATTTTTGCCATTTTTTATAATTCTCATGAGATTAATAAAATGTATTACTATTATTGAACGGTTCTATACCTTGTTTCAAGCTAAGAAAATAACATTACGCTTATGGAGATCAGTGTTGCCAAAACTCTCAGGCACTCTCTTTTGCACGGATGTCCAAGATATTCCCTTGGCTTAATTTTTGAATTTCCATTTTCAATTAACATTTAACTGTAAAGTCAGAATAACTACTAAAGAACCACAAAGCCTTATTATCATTATGTAGTCAGAGAACGACATAAAATCGCTGACATACGCATACCGTATTATTTTAAGTTGCAATTAGTAATTAGATATATGCATTCCAAGCGGTCCGTTTATTTGCTTTTAAATCTTTAATAGCCGGCAAAATGCATGATTTAACTAAGCAATATTTTCTACTGATTTCTATTATTCGTAGAATATGGTATTCTCACCGAAAAACAAATAAACTGTCGTTACTATAATTAAAATAAGATAAAATAAAATTATTTTTTGTAAATACTATTTATTTAATTAAAATCATTTTCCCTACTTTTCATCTCTTGTTTCGAAAGAGCACTTTTGGTCAATTACTTTAAAAAACATTAATTTAATTCATGTCTGTGGAAACGAAAATACAAATTATACAACCCTGAATCGTGCTGGTGTTTGTCGTAGCATTGCCGCGCTTCTATCGTCCATAAGAAATACATGGCCCTATCTCCGCAATGTTATTTTCTTAACGTGGAACGCTCTATAGTGAAATTTCGATTTTTAGAGACAAATCTGCAAAACCTATAACATGAAATTTGAATTTTGAGTTGTGGCAATAAATATGAAGCATTTGAAATATGACTAAAAACGCAGAATTTAAACTTTTACATTACAAACGATCACGCATCACAAATACCTGCAAGATGGTTTTGTGACAGTTTTAATTCAGCGTTTTTTAGCATATTTCATTAACATTATACCTTTCATTTGTTGCCAAAACTCTAAACTAAAATTTCATGTTATACTTTTTAAAAATTAGGCTGTACTTATCGAAACTTTACAGTAACCGGTTAATAAAAGGGATAAATTGTATTGATCCCATGAGAATAATAAAAATTGGCAAAATTCGCGCTACGTTTATTTATTTAACACCTTATATAACGCAAAATGCAAAAATTGCGTCCAAAAGTTGCATCTTTAAAACGCATCTTGATTTTTGTCTATAGAACACTCAGATCAAAAGATATCGGATTTTTAGCGTCGAGCTCATACACAAATTTTATTGAACATTGATTTCGCGCTCGTAACTGACATTAAAAATTGTCGATCGCTTTAAGCATTGTTTCTGAGAGAACGGTTCATTCTACACAAAAAATGCTAATAAACATTTTTGTTCAAAATTATCTTAGCTACATTTTTTATTTGAAATATTTCTTTCTATTGCGTAGAGATTATTGGTAAATCGTTTTTTTTTTGTTTTCCCCCCTCTACGATGGGGGTTTTAGGAGAAAGCCCGATGGTAAAAGTGGTAAACATTTTTCATCTTTTTTGGCGTCCTAAAATTGACATTCTCGGCAAAATTCAGCTTGTTCGTATGACTTTTAGAGGTTCAGTGGCATTTTCGTCTCTGACGACTGAAATAGTAACAATACTTCTTGGATTATTATATCCACTTAACGAACGATAGCTATCATTTTGTCTTATAATATTATACAAGGCTATCCGGAAAAAATATTTTCGGTTGTTTATTCAGAGCACGTCTTAGGTTTTAGAGTCACGTTGTTCGTCCTGAACATCTTCATCCGAATATTGTTCCTTGCGTCACTGACTGATAGAAGCTGTACTCTTTCGGGCGTTTCTGGTTTTATCAGTCATTACGATCCTATTTTTTTTTCGTAAAAAATTTAAACGGAGACAAAAAAACGTAGAATTTTAGTGTTCTAATTCCAAGTTTATGTCGACCCACAGTGAATTATACTTAGAAAGGAATACGTTCTTGCTTGTGCAATACGACAACAAATTTGAAGATGGCTCCCAATCGCTTTTTATTTTGCAGGACATAAGTTGTATTGGCAGTTCTTTCAATTTCACAATCGATAATTTTATTTTCTTGTGTATTTTTAACTCCAGTCTATACTTATCATATGCTTATCACTCTTGGTCTAATATATAGTGCAAGCCGTTGTCGCTCCTTGCTAATAGAACCTTTGTATCATTAGTTGTTAATAGGGACATAGTTGATTTTTTCTAATTGGGTTATCCTGTAGTGCCTGTTCACAAAAAACGTGGTACAGTAGGCGGTACTGTAGACTAACGCGAAGTTTTATACTAAGTTTTCTGTATTTTTAAATTTTAAATAATATTTTTAAAATATACCAAAGTAATTTTATTATTTATTTATTTACTATTTAAATTTTCGCTTCAAAAATAATATTTAAGAATAACATAAAACCTTGTTAGTTAATATCCTTGTTATATATTTCAATAAAATTGAAAAAGTTTACATGTTGTGTATGTCGACTCTTCCTACTATTTCGTGGAGCTACTTTCGTGATGCTCTCCTTAGCATTTTAATATAGAGAAAAAGTAATACAACACCAGTATAGAAGCTTCGCTTCAAGATTTCCAAGTACAAGAAATTGAGCGGGGGTAAAATGACTTCCTATTTGACTCGGTTACTACTACTACTCCCTACATAAACTGCTTCCGAAACTTTATGGTCCTTTTACCCCATTTTGCTTTTTTAATTATTTGTATTATCGTTTTAGGCAATGTCACTATTTTTATTATTTCTGCGCTGTGTCTACTTACGCCTGTTAAACGCCTCGAAATCTAGCAGGCTTATAGTTTAAGAGTGCAAGGAAATATAAGAAAGCAATCAGAAATATGACATATTCCATCTTCACAAAAAAGTTTAAAAACAGCTGGACAGATAAGACAAATGGGATGCAACATTGCAGATTACAATGTTAATGTTTATTTATGCTCTATTGAAAAACGTGAGATACGTAGCGGAAAGATCTCATTTGGCGTGCTATAGAAAGAAGTTCTTTTTTTTCCTTTGTTCATATTCTTATTTTTTAGAACCTGTACTGGATTCTTTTTTATTACAGCATTAATTTTAATCTATCAATCCAGAGTTTCAATATTGAATGGTGTATCAGTCTATCAAAGTAGTTTCACGGGATTGTAATAGGCAGTAATTTTATTAACATTGTATTACTTAAATTCCAAAGAAATACGATTATCATTATAGAAATACGAAAAATAATTCTAAATTTTGTATGATACTGATGTTAACAAAATTAATATAATTGTTTTTTTTAAGCATTTGCAACCCCTACAAGTACATCGTCTATGAATTTTGGATTTGGAAGCAATACACAAACAAACAATCCATTTGGAGCAGCACAACAACCAAAGGCGTTTGGTAGTGTAACACCATCTATTTTTGGTACAAACACGGCAACTACACAGCAATCTGGATTTAATACTGGAGGAGGTCTTTTTGGTCAAACAAACACACAGGTAAATTAAATGTCCATTAGAAACGCTGAGAGAATACCCATTAATTATTGTTATGTTAACTTCGAGCACAAAATTTCATAGTTTATAACAGTTGTTCATATTGATAGAAAAAGTACATGATGCATATTGTTTCTACCCTTCAACTGAAGACATCGTAATTATCCATTTATTGATATTTTTTACTTGTAGAATACAGCTGGATCGATTTTTGGAAAACCGGCTCAGCCTACAGTAGGATTTGGAAATGCGCCAAATGCCAATTTCTCATTTTCTACACCTGCATCAACACAGGCATCTAGCCTGTTTCAACCAAATAAGCCAATTTTTGGACAAACGTCGACTACACCTGCTTTTGGACAAACCACCAATACTTTTGGCACAAACACATTCGGTTCCACCCTTGGTAAACCAGCAGCGCCTGCTTTTGGGACTACACAAACTCCCGCATTTGGTAACGCCCTTGGTACTGGTAAGTATATAGATTACAGAGCAAATTAATTTATATAATCTTAAAAATGTTATGTAGGCTTACAACCTCAACCTGCCCCACTTTTTGGAAACAATACTGTCAAACCTGGAGGATTTTTCAATAATACTGGTACAACAGGATTAGGAAATTTTCAGAGTAATACTTTCCCAACAAATACTGGATTTAATATCCAGCCACAAGCTGCTCAACAGTCGTAAGTATTTTTTTATTAAAATTTAATCATTCAGTGGTCTAGAGCCATAAAAAGGTGGTAATTAGGGTCAGTAGCGCACTAGAATTTTCCTCTGGGGGGGTTTGGTTGGGAACCGAAATTTTTTTATGCTACCTCCACCATTTTAAGTCCTTAAAATTTGTGAATAGCAGTGTCGGAATAGGGTCCTGGGAGGGGGAATGTAACCACCAAAACCCCCCTGGATGCGCCACTGATTACGGTAAGCCGTGAATTCTCTATTTATATGTCTTGTTGGTAATATTAGACCAGGAAAGATTTTTTTCGTGACACTCGTCGGGCCAGGCAAACGACAGTTGTTTTAAGTAGTACAGATCTCTATAACAATAATCTATATGTTTCCTGCAGTAGATTTTTGGACTTAATTATTAACAAAGTAAAGTATTTCGTCCATCACCAAAAAGTGGAACATGTGAAACAAATTTAAGAGTTGACTGAGTCTGACTTATATTGTTGCAAAAAAACACTTAATTTGGGATAAATAAATAAAATAAATTTTAAACTATTTGACCGATCGCTTTGAAATTTTGATCATACTTTAAGCACAAGAACCAATATTTCATATAATATGAAGGATCTAAATTAATTTTTTAGAAAGTTATTAACATTTATAAAAAACCGAAATCTCTGACGTATTTTGCAACTCTCTAAACTCAATAAATAGGGATAGAAACATGTAAAAAAACGCCATTTTGAAGTTTTTTTTTTGTATGATTTATAAGTTTATTACTCTCAAATTTTTTTCAATCTTTCACTTTTTGCTTATAGATGATAAAACAAAATTGACCATTTTTTGACCTTAATTTGTTTATAACTAATTAATTCCAAATAATAGAGTGCAGGAAACATAGAGGACCATACTACTCAAAACAACTGTCGTTTGCCTGGTTGGGTCAGTGTCACAAACACGATACTTTTTTTTGCTTATTTCCCCTGGCCTATATAGTCGCCACCATGGACGTATAAACACAGATGGACACAGCAATAAGATACCTTTAACACACAATGTTTTGAAGCTTCGATAGAATGTGATGCTTCCTCAATGAGCATAAGTGTGCTTGAATTTTTACTCGCGGGGATAATTATTCAGACTTTAAAAATTGGAAGTAGTAATAATGTATAAAACACGTTCGAAGAATTTAAAAAAAAGAGAGTTTAAATATTAACAAATCACGTCTTTATAGAAAAATTAAAATACAATGAGAGATCTGGATGTAAATATTTCGTTTTTTTTTTCAAATGCAAAACTGTAGCACCATTATTATAATATGTTTATTTCACATTTCACAAATATCACTCAAAATATCGAAAAACAACTTTTCCTCATCTACTGTAAAAAGTAAACAAACATGCATTTGAAGTTTGACGTAGGCCATAAGACAGAGAAACGTAAACACCGTTGCAATTTATAAATAGTTTTCAGTACTTCTACATATAAAATAATTGATTGATTCTATTATACGCTATTATTAAATGATAATGCACACTATGTGCACACTTGATATTTGGATTACAATGAAGTATATCAATATAACAGTAAAGTATTATTTTGGTTTGATAGCACCTGCAGAGTATAAAATATGGAGTAATATTTTCAGTGACTCGTGAATAAGAAATTTTAATAAAAAAACGTGACAACAGTTAAAGGTGTTGAGAATGTGACCTATTCAAATAATTTTGACTTCACAATTTTATGTAAATAACTGAGTCCATCTGTGTTTATACGTCCATGGTCGCCACGCTAAATACCGTGATATTTATGACCTGACATTGACAATGGAAAGTTTGGTTAGACCTATATTTTAACAAAATGTGAGAAATTTAAGTAAAAATGATATTCAACACAACAAAATGCAAAAATATCAAATATTAATTCCACGCCGATGTAAAAATATGAGTCATAGTATTAATTTTCGGTATACATTATTTTCTCAACTGTGTGAATTAGCTTTTGACTAAATAGTGTACAAATTAGAAATAAATATACAAATTATATACAGTTTTTTTATAAAGACTGGTTAAGCATTTTTCAAGTGGACTGTGGTCTACAGTGAGATTGTGGTAAAAATTGTTTAAAGGCAAACTTACTGCTGCACAATACTATAATGATATGGTTCTTCTCAGAGCCTTCTTTCAGTGCGTCATGAATTATGACGTCATGTACTGAACTATTTGTCACAAATATGAGCTATCAAATTAATGAAATATGAAGTTGGACAATCGACTCTGAAACAGAAAAAGTAATTGATGCCTTTGAGATGTATGTACCGAGTGGTCCAATAAGCCGATCTCTCGGCTATATATCAGAAACTATTCATGTTATAACTTTAGGAGAAAAAATTCCTTAGTAAAAGTGTCCAAGAGAAATCGCTGGAAATAACTTTCAAGTTTCTGGGTTAACCGCTAGGGGGCGTAACCTGTGAAGAAAAGTTTGAAAACCAGTTTTTTGTGAAATATGCCCTATACCAAGTGAAGTGTTAAATAAGTAAACTAGAAAGAGGTATAAATTCCGCACAAAGTTGTTTAAGAACTTCTATTTTTTTAAATAAAGGGTGCGGGAGAGTAGGAAAGTATTTGTGGATAAATAACTATAACTTTGGTTTTTATCATCCGATTTTAACGAAATTAGTGTCATTAGAAAGAGTGTGGATGATTTAATTTACATCTACTATAAAACAATTGCATTTAGTTTTGTCATGGGTAGAGGGTACTTTCAAATAGAAAAAATTAAAATTTGTTTTTATTCAAAATGTTTAATGGAAACACCTATTTATTGTAAATATTAATAAAAATGGATTAAATTCGTAACAAAATGGCGCAAACCGTATGTTAATAGCTTTTGTCGAACTCGAGATTGAATAAAAACGCATAAGCATAAAACTTAAAATTAAAAATGTTAAAGATCATACACATATCTCGATCATTAAAACTTAATATCCAATTAAATGTTTAAATTGTTTTCCATCGTTGTCCACACATAGATGTAATCTTTCGCGCGTAGACATAACAGCTGCTCCAATATCAGCTGTTGATATACTATTTATTGCGTTGCCATGAAAATATATTTCCGCTTCCAATCATTTATTTGGATAACTTGCTTACAAATAATCTCGAGCCCGCCTGGAAAAGTGCGCAGGACACCCGTCATGTTGTAATATCATATCTCTTATTGTTTGTAAGGAAATATCTTCAAATAAAACAGGCAACTGATTTTCCAGAAAATCCAAATACGTTTCGCCATTTAGAGTTCTATCAAAGAAATATGGACCTACGATCTTTCCATCAACTATACCACACCAAACATTAAGACTCCACCTACCTTGAACCTACACCTCATGTATCCAGTGCGGATTTTCTTCAGTCCAATAATGCATATTATGCAGATTAACACCACCCATACTACTAAACGTAGCCTCGTCTTTCTACAAAATCTTTGACATGATATGCGGTTGTTCTTCTAGCAGACCTAACATCCAATTGCAGTAATCCAGACTTATATCAAAATCTCTCTCGTGTAAAGCTTGGTGCAGAACTACATGATAAGGATGCAGTCTAAAAAACAAAACAACAAATATTGGTGAAAAAGAAACCACTATATTTACTAAAACTTGAAAAATCCACAATTGTTTCATAAGGTAAATAGTGCATAAGTATTTTTAAGAAACGGATAAAAGGATAAAAGCGCCGTGTTCTCGTTTTTATCGGAATATTAAAATAACAGTTGAATCTAAAGTATAATGGGAATTCCCAGTTTCAGACCTAAACGTTCACTTTATAATATGTAAAACCAACCTGTGATGTTTTAAAATACTTAGAACAGTAGTTTTGGGTATGTTTAATTCTATAGAGATTTGCCGACTACTTTTATGTGGATTCTGTTGATTTAAAGCAAGAACATTGATTGAATTATCTTGGGTCATACCTCTATGTCGTTTAAAACAAGGACGATGAAAACTACCAATTTCTGTTAATCTTCTTGCCTTTCTTTCAAATACTTCTTTGCCATAATGTCTCCTGTCAGGATATCTTACAGAATATATACGTGAGGCAATAGCGGCATTTTGGTGACATTCGAAATAAGCTCCAATCACATCATACAATTCTGCATTTGATATACTCATCACGAATTATTAGTACTGATAATTACTAATATTACCAATATTAATATCTATTGAAAAAAGTGCAATCTTCATTTCGAATTATAATATAACACTTATTAACAACGTTTTGACTTCTGTCAATAAATAAACAATATGAACTCCCCATCAAATTCATTGTCGTAGCCTACTTAGTTTCGAAAAAACTATTTTTAATCATATGAAATAACAGTGGTCAAAATAGGTATCAACATTAAGATTCTTCTGCTATAAAAAAATTTGAAAGTACCTACTGACTTATTTTTTAATTTAATGTATAATACAGGGTGAGTCAATACTATACTTACTTATTTTTATGCGTCTTTATTCATATCTTGAGTTCGACAAAAGCTATTAACATGCGGTTTGCGCCATTTTGTTATGAATTTAATCCAGTTCCATTATAATTTACAATAAATAGGTGTTTCCATTAAACATTTTCAAGAAAAACAGATTTTAATTTTTTCTATTCGAAAGTACTCTCTACCTGTGACAATTAAAATTAAATGCAATTATTTTATAGTAGATGTAAATTAATTCATCCACACTCTTTCTAATGACACTAATTTCGTTAAAATCGGTTGATCCAAACCAAAGTTATAGGTATTTATCCAAAAATACTTTCCCACTCTCCCCCGCCCTTTATTTGAAAAAATAAGAAAAAGTACTTGAACAACTTTGTGCAGAATTTATGCCTCTTTCTAGTTTACTTATTTAACACTTGGTATAATTGGGCATATTTCCCAAAAAACTGGTTTTCCAAGTTTTCTTCACAGGTTACGCCCCCTAGCAGTTAACCCAGAAACTTGAAAGTTATTTCCAGCGATTTCTCTTGGCCACTTTTACTAAGGAATTTTTTCTCCTTAAGTTATAACATGAATAGTTTCTGATATATAGCCGAGAGATAGGCTCGTTGGACCACCCGGTACATACAGACGGAGAATTCTATGGGTAGGAAAAGTTACCAACGATGAAGTACTTCGACGCATGAGTAAACAAAAAGAATTACTTAGCATGATCAAAGAGAGAAAAATACAACAATTGGATCACGTGATGAGAGGTAATAGATATGAATGAGTTCGGATCATATTGTAAGGTAAAGTATAGAATAAAAGATGAGTAGGAAGACACCAGAACTCGTGGCTGAAAATGTCCAAAGCTACAATTGCCATTTGGATCGCCAACCTTCGAAGGGAGACGGCACAATAAGAAGATAAGTAAAATCAACGAAATAATACTTTAGGTGAGCAGGAGAAAAGAAAACTTAAAAAATCGATAAAATTGTTAATATGTACAAAAAAAAGCCTTATATGCGTGATCTTGTCAAAGTTTTCGAAATATTGAGTTATGAGGAATTAATTGATCTGATATTCTAATATGTTTACATACAATTTTAACACTTATATTTGTATAATTTACTCATATCTTTTTTTTTTGTTAGGTTGTTTCCTTCTTCCGAACAACAAACCTCTACAAACCTTGCCTTATTGACAGCAGATCCCTTTGGTGATGCTCCTCATCTCGCTGGTTTGGAGCCAAAATTGAAAAGCAGTCCTGCTGCAATATCAGCTACCGACCCAAAAGAATTGAAGTCCTTATTGGACGCTTCTAACAAAGTGGCTTCTTCCACTGGTTCCAAATTAAGAGTTGTGCCTATAAGAAGTATCAAGGTAAGTAAAACAAACATTCTTCGTATTTATTTTTACAAACTGTTCAAAACGCTATTAGCCCTTTCCATGTTGATGATCATTTTAGATATAGCCCTCTGTGCCGTCTTGGTAAGCAATACCAATTCTACTGTCTAAAATTAATAATCGAATTTGGCGAAAACTCTTGACAATTTGGCGTTCTTCTTTTATTTGTTTTTATTTCAACTATTTTTTTTATAATTCATTTTCATATTCAATTAAATCCTTCCACTAAAATTTAAAATTTTATTGTTATGTCATGTGGAATGTACTACTCCAGAAAGGATACTGAATAAGGATTCAATAGTTTAGTTATTTATTCTGATTTTTTTAAGGTTATCAATATTAAGTCTTCTTACTGAATTTTTGATAGCTATAAACCTCGACTCTCCAATGATCTATGGAAAGTATGTCCTTTTTTATTTGGGTTATGTATCTCTTCGACTTCTAAGAATAACTCAATTTTTGTTAAAATTACTTTCAAAATATTCTATAATATATCTTTCATCATAGGTTCGTGATAATTTTGCTTTCGCTCTGAAGTTACTTGGTTTTATTTAGGGTGGGATGCTGAATAACTGAGAATGTGAGCAATATTTTTTTTCTTTTTTTTTTTTTTTCAGAAGCCGTTTGTTATCACCTGCCGTCTGCAGCCAATTGGCTTTTTGTACATTTTCCATTCGTTTAACCTTCTGGCTTAGGTTTTAGTGTTAACGACTACTTACGTAGTCGGGACCGAGCTGTGGCCGTCACGTTAGCCATCAATAATATACCTAACATATTGTCTAGCCAGAACTTTTACTAGTACAGAATTTTTTTGTACACTGCTGTCAAATGTGCAGATATAGTATACAAAGAATGTACCAATAAAAAAAATTGACTGATTTGGTAGAGGGAGTACACATTTTGAAAAACTGTATAATGTAGTCAAGTGCAAAGTCCAAAGAAAAAAACCTAACAATATATATTGTTACACTTCTTTAAAATAACTTTATTCGGCACCAACAATATTACAATATGTACTTAATACAACTGTAACCCAATGACAATTATTTTCAAAAACTCAAATACTACTCTTCTTTAAAGTGTCAACTTTCTATCTTTATATACAGTTTCTTACGTTCCAGGCATTACTAGACGTTTCGGGATTTTCGATGACATCTCAAATATTATAATATTTGTACATAATTAATGTTCTTAGAACTCTTTCATAAACTATTAATACTTTTTTTTTATTTTAGGATAGCCTTTTTGATGCAGCAACTCCTACTGTTAACGAGGACAGCAAAGATTATATTAAAACAAACTGCAGAAAACTAGTATTAAAAAGTCGTCCAAGTAGTGGTGAAAGTAATTCCCCTGCTTTTCAAAGGATGGATATATTGAAACACATTGATTCGCCCGAAACACCAATAAACGATGAAAACGTAAACATTCAAAATATAAGAAATAATATTAGTTTACAAAATGAGATAAGACCTACTGTTAAACTTAACTTTGAAAATACTCTAAATAATGACAGTAGTTTGCCGGTCGGATCGCAAACTTTCATTTTAGATAATTCTGTTAGAAATAGTTCACATGGTGAGTATTTAGTAGACTATAATTTTTAAGTTTTATTCTTTTTACTTATTCCGCAATGGAATCTTCTATGTATGTAATAATTCGATCTCATCTAACCCCGATGGCTTTTTAGTCACGTGAACTTATAATGTGAGACAGGTATTATTGAGACCTCTTATTAACAGGATTAACTTTCTGTCTTCATTATACTTGTATATCTGTATAAAAATATTTATTACAACTGAAAATTACCTGAAATATATTGTCGAAGACCCTCAAGTGGCGGCTGTAGCTTAGCGGCTGTGTTACTCTGCCGTGTTAACTTAAAAGGGCGTATCTGCTTTAAACTAGTTTGCGAGAAAAATCAGTTTCAGTGGTTTTGATTAGGCAATCGTGATTTTTTAAAAAGTTGTGACTTGTACCATATAGAAGTTAACAAATAGGTTTATACTATCATGTGACAGAAGCTTCGTGTATTTCAGATTCTACTGCTATAATATTATCTACTGTAGACCATTCTGATCGGTATCCACTTTGGATGGATGTAAGGAGATTTTTCTTTTCTAAGTACCATTTTAATGTTTTGCTTAAATCTTTTCCATTATTTTGCAGATACTACAGGTAAGAGATATTGGTCGATACGAAGAAGATAAGTTTTTTAGTTTATTGTCTTTTAAAAATGGTATTATAATTGCTTCGCGCCAGAGAGATGGAAATTTATGGGTCGAGTAAATTTTGTTGAAGATCTCTACCAAAGTAACCTTCGCGGTAATAGGTAGTTTTTCGATGAAAATTGGTGGTATGTCATCAGGTCCAGGTGAGGTATTTTTGAGGTTATTAAGACTTTCATTTAATTCATCAAGTGTTACGGAAGTGTTTAGTGGACTAGCAGTATCTTCTATGTTAATTTTTGATGTTTCTGTTCTTTCTTTATGTTCTAAGAAATTTGGGTGGTACTGCTGATTGCTTGAATACAACTGATAGTGTTCTACTAAAATTTCTGAGATTTCATGTTTGTCTGAAGTTGTTAGATCGTTTGTAGTTATTGTGTCGAATATGGTTAAATGTTTTTGAACCTTTTATTTTCCTTATTCTTTGCCATATATCCCTTATGGGTGTAGACGAGTCAATTGACGACACGTAATTGGTCCAGCTTTCTTTTTTTGCTTTCTTTATTAAAAATCTAGATCTGGCCCTTAAAGATCTAAAATTGTTTAAGTTATTAGGTGTGTTATACTTCTTGTATATATTAAAAGCACGTTTTGTTTGCTTTAAAGCGGATGCGATTTCAGTGTTCCACCAAGGAAGAGGAGCTTTTGTGATATTTTTGGTTTTTCCTATAGAATCTTTGGCTGCGTCTAAAATTATACCGTTGAAAGATGATAGAGTAGTGTCTATATTATCTGTTATAACGAGATTTGGTATACGTATGCTTACTAAGTTCGAGTATTTTTCCCAATCAGCTGACTTTAATTTCCACGTTTCATATAGTGTTGTACAGGTTTTTTATCTTTGTCATGAGTAATTATTATTGGAAAATGATCACTGTCGTATAGGTGGTCCAATGTATTCCACTGTAAAAATGGAGCTAAAGTTGAATCACTGATAGATAAGTCTATGGAGGAAAATGTGCCATTATGTGCATTGAATCTAGTAGGTGTTCCTGTGTTTAGCAAAACTAGTTTTATGTTATTAATTGCTTCTAATAATATTCGTCCATTTTTATCTGTTTTTTTGGATCCCCATGCGATGTTGTGACAGTTTGTGTCACCCAAAATTAATTTTGGAGATGGAATTTGTTTAATTACATTTTGAAGTTCTAATAGAGTAGTTTCGTCAGGATGTGGTAAATATACGTTGCATATATTGATTTTAAAATGATGTATTACCGAAACTGCTACTACTTCCAAATTCGTGTTTAACGGAATTTCTTTGGATTGGATAGTTGAATGTACAAAAATTCCGACTCCACCACTGGATATTTGCTGTACTGCTCGATTTTTTGTATAGGCCATATAATTTTTTAGTTTTGCTTGATTGTTGGAGAAACGAGTTCTTGTAGACATATTATTAGTGGTGACAGTTCATTGATTAGCATTTTAATGTTTTCAATGTGGCTATAATAGCCATTCAAGTTCCATTGAAGAATGCATTGAATTGGACTATTGAGATAAATCGTAGTCGCTTTCTTCAGTGAGGGAAGATTCATATGTTGGATTTATTTTGTTTATAATTCTTGTGATATTATTTTTCATGCGTCTATCATTTAATTTTGAGTGAACCATTTTTAATAAGGTGTATAAGCCGTCAAAATCTTCTGTATAGTTTTTAGCTGTGACTTCAGGAAATTTTGATCCCATTGCGTTTATAACGAAGACGCATAATTCAGAGAAATTTAGCGTATATGAAGGAGATGCTGTCATTAAAATGTTTTCAATTGGTTTTAATGTGGCTTCGACATCTAAAGCCTTTTTCTTCTTTTTTGGTGCGGATTTTTTTGGATTTATAAAAGTTTCGTTTAGGTTTTTAGTTTCTGAGATTTCAGGAGAGATTGAAATTTGCCTTTTTGCTTGATTGGATCTTTTAGTATTATTGCTGTTAGCTGTAGATGAAGGTATATTGTGTACTATAAGCGAATCGTTTGTCGTTGGGATATCTGCAGAAATAGGGTTGGAACAGTTAGTTGTATCATCTGAAATATTTTTTGAATTATTCTGATTTACTTCCATGGGTTCGAGTTCTGAGGTGTATGTTTGTATCACTTGAGATGGATCTTTAAGTGTTTCTGTACCAGTTGATGTAGATGTGCAGTTTTCATCTTTGTGGCCAGTAGTATTGCATTTAGAGCAATTTAAACCATCTAGGGATAGGAAGATTCTGTAAGGAGTGTTGTCATAGGTTATTAAGATTGTATTTGGAATTGGTTTGGTGATTATCGAAGAGACAACTATACTCAGACTCGGGCATGCCAACTTTTAAAAACGTTAATTTGGATACTGCAGTTGTTCTAGTTGTTTCAGTTCATCTTCTAGAATACTGTTCGGGATGCTGGGGCAGATGTTTGATATTACTAGTCTCCTTGCTGGCGTAATAAGTCTTCGAATTTCTATCTCATTACCTTGGATGACTACAGTTTTATGGTTGTTTAGTAAGGTATCTACTATGCTAGAATTGTTCAAGTAAATGCAAACTCGGTTGTTCGCTATTCGTGATGCAAAAATAACATTTTTTGGTGTGAGTAGAGATCCTATGGCTACTATGTATTCATGTATTTTAATACCTTGGATAGCTGATAGAATAATGGCTTGTTCTTTTGAAGGAAAATTGAAGTTGCTTACTGCATTGGAATATGTCGATGTTGATGATGTAGTAGGTATGCTAATATTTTCAGAATCATCCATTTTTAATTTTTGTTTTCTTCATTTGATATAATTTTCGAAAGCCGGTCCTGTATCGGCTAATTATTTCGACTTATCGAAGTTGCCAAAAAACCAGAAACCAGATTAATTGATGTGTTGTATTGAATTATGGGTTATGTTTAATATTTACTGATATTGAATTTGTAGTAAATTGGTAATGTACTCACAGTTTGTTTTTTGTGTGAAGAAACTTTGTTGTTTAAATACACTATTTAGCTAACAATATTTTACGTTTCTTGATTATAAACCGCTGAAAAGTTAGTTTTGGTAAGAGCAGATTTTAATCGGCACTTTATCAACTATGCGCAGGGTTCTTACAAATATTTTGAGGTATTCTTTCTTCATCTTTTAACTGATAGATAAATGTAAGAGCGCCGAGAACTATCTGAATTTCTAGTTGCGCATCTTTTTTGGGGATCTTTAAAATGGAACTTGAATAAAAAACTTTCTGTTCCTCGGAGGAAAGATTCCAAAACTGCCTATTTATATCTTGCCGCCGAAGAGTTGAAACATTATTTCTGCAATTTTTCTTGCAAGTAGCCAAACAGCTTCCAGATATTTTGTGTTTATTAACTAAGTTTTGCACTTTTATTGAACGTTGTTCACCTAAACTTTCTTTTATCTTTTTCCGTTTCTTTAACTGTCCCTTTTTAGTTATTTTTTTGCTCTCTTATTTGTCTATTGCGCTTTGTATAATACTGTGAATTAAATTATTAAAATTATTATATTAAAATATGTTAGCATTACATCGTACTACCAGTCGATATAAAACATCGACTGGTAGTACGATGTTCTTCCGTATCTGTCAATAAGTTTAAAAATTCCGAAATAGCTGATGAGCTGGTTGTTGAAGCAGGTTGTAATAGGATATTGCTAATAATATGTATATTTTGGTCGCTAACGTTATATGTGTCCCAAAATTCTTCACTTGAGGTAGATGTTGAAGGAAGGTAGTCTCTATCTCTGTCATCAGACACGTCAGATTCAATATCTAACTGAGCTATGTTCGACAGCTCAGTTAGATATCTGAGGAATTTAAAGCCAGGTCCACAAAACATTTTACCTCGTCCTCTAAATTCTGCTGAAACAATTTTTTTCATCAAGTAATTTGACAAAGCAATAATTATTTTTATAGTTTTAAATATAATATACATAATATAAATACCTATTTGGTGTGAAAACCAAAGTGACAACCTTATTTTCGAGATAATCAATTTACAATAACTTCAGAACCAAAAATATTTACCTTGACACATACGTACAAGGTAACAATTTGTATTTGTTTAGCCTTTTATATAAATTAGTAGAAAATATACTTACTAGTTGTTTCTGCAAAATTATTATCCATATTTATTATGAACAACAAACTAAACATATTCTATGAAAACACGAAAAAGTAAGGTTAGAAATAAAGTAAATTGACAGTTTAACGCTAACATTTTAGTAGAAATTTCAGATACGGCTATTAATTTAAGCAGTATATATCCGGTTTTATTGCAGATTTTAATAAACATTGCAGTTACGCCCTTTTGAGTTAACACGGCAGTACTGGCTTAACAAGTTGGACGCCCCCGGTTATGATTGCCGGAACTGAGGCCAAGAAATTTTTCAATTTCTAATTTAACTCAACTGCCACCGTGCCTCGAAGAACACGTAAAGCCATTGGTCCTAACTACGTAAGTGTTCGTTAAGTCATGTTTGGGGAGCTTGCGCTACCTGAAAGGTCCAACATTAAATCTAAGCCAGAAGGTAATACGATCTTTACTTTTTTAATTTACTCTGGTCCAAAATAAAAAATTCCGATATTGATGTCAAGCCCAAGAAACCATATAACATCTTGCCGGAGACTACCAGGCTTCGTTTGAACTGGTTATAAAGAACGGCATGACTCAGGAAATATTATTCAACCGGGACTAGTCAACAAACTGGGACTTATATAAGCTAGACCGGATCTTATACTAGTTAATAAACGAACTAGACAAACAACACTAATTTAATGGTTGCGATTGCAAACAACAATAATTTGCGTTAATACAAGGATAAGATCGCCAAGTACAAATATTTTGAGTTACAAATAAGGAGACAATGGAGAATGGAAAGTACCCAGACAATACCTATTATTTTCTCTACTACTGGAGTCTTTCTCTGAGCCATAGAACATTCATCAGTTATAGTCATTTATGAACAGATTCATACAACAGATTTTTATAAACAATACGTATGTCGAGAAACGAATAGCGGTAGACGAATTTGAGTAGTATTTGTCATCTTAATATTATTAAAATTTAGCCAATAAAATATAATAAATATAAATAAAAAACATTTTCAAAAGGCGAGGGAGTGTTACTATGATGAGTAGGAACAAGTGTGGAGAAAGGCAATTTAATTAAAAAAATCATTTAAAACAGCTCTCAAAGATATAATATTCCCAAAACTATTTAAAAGCAAATAATGATAAAACAATTTATCTCAGAAGTCAAATTATTCGAAAAATAACAGCAAAAACTAGAGTCAGTATTATTTGCTATAACTAGTTGTTTCCTATTCCTCAAGTAAAATTAGAACCAATTTTTTTATCAAAATGTGATTTACACAATCAAAAGCTTTGGCATAGTCACAAAAAACAGTGGCAGTATAAAGATTATTGTTTAGTGTTTGATTTAGTAGTACAGAAAACATAGCATCGCTGGTACATTTTTTATATAAAAAAGGGCGAACTGACTTTGTGATAAAATGTTGTTTTCAGCGAGAAAGGACAATACTTATGAAGAGGAACAATAATGGCTGTCTTTAGGTACTCTGGAAATATACCTTTTTCAAAGGAATCGTTAATTAGTGAGACCAGGACTTCCAACACATTATTTGGGAGATTTAAGAAAATTTTTATGGATAGTCCATCAGTACTACAGGAAGATTTGCTTTTGATACTACTGATTATTTGGATCAGTTCAGATTTATCAACTGGTCTTATAAATGATGAATTCGAGACCTTTTTTGAATTGGGAAGATAGGAAATAGGATCTTATTGTGGCAAAACAGTTGATGTTATATTTTTACTCACATTAACGAAGTATTCATTTAGATGTTCAGGGTTTGGAAGAGAACATGTTAGTTTTATTTCGAAGATCGTTTATTATGGGCCAAGTTTCCCTTGCAACATTTTTAGAGATTGGTAGTAAATTTCTTGATGTACAGTAGTGAACACATATTCTTGGCTGATATGCGAATACCCTTGGTAGTCCAGGGTTTGTGATGTTTTGACTTAATTGAAAATTGAAAAGTTCAAATTGATTGAAAAAGTTCAAATGCAAATGCTAGAAATGCAAAAAAGATAGTCGGTATATTCTGTTCCTAAGCGCCTTTTTAGGAGTTAGACACCATAGAGCAGAAAACTTGCAAACCCGTCTGAGTTGGTATGAATAACATCTTGATGTGACGAACGTTAGCGACCATCATAGCAATCTTTATCTAGTCTGCAACAGCTCGGAAAAGCTGCTGTGTTGAACCAGGTGCTGTGCTTCTTTAACCAAGAGGTTTTTCTTCGTGGACCTCACTTTCCAAATATTTTTCCTTGCAGGATGGCATGTAGAAGGACATATCTGGATTCATTTCAAATAATGTGTTCGAAGTATTGTAACATTCGAGCTTTGGGATCAGTACTACTCAGTTCTCTTCATTCTTCTGAGGACTTCTTCATTTGCGACTCGTTAAGTACACGGGATCTTAAGTAGTCTTAAGCCACATCTCAAATGCTTTTAATCTTCTGCACATATCTTCGTTCAAGGTCCTTGATTCAACACAATAAAGAATGATGGAGAATGCAGCGTCCTTACTTTTATACCAAGAGAGAAGTTATGGCTCATGAAGGAGCCCCCATCCGGTTGAAGGTGGATCTAGCTTTTCCGATGCGCGTTTTTATCTCCTGGTTGTTGGTTTCATTCTTTATTTATTATGGTGCCGATGTACCAAATGTAGTGCGTCACTCTTTCTACTGCGGTTTGCTTGAAGTAGAGTTGACATTCTGTCATCTTTTTCTTGCTAATTATGGGTTTTGTCTTCTGTACGTTTATATTGAGTCCATATTGTTGGCTATAATACGTGATGACTGCTGCGCGTTTCACTATTTTGCTCACTATGCCTATTCTTATTATGTATGATTAAACCACAATTGATTCGAATAAAAATTATATTTTACATTTGTTTTTGACGTTTTATTTTAAAAAAAGTTATTTTAAATAAGGAGTTATTTCGACGCTTTTGTTTGCCAAATTTGACTTTTGGTCCTCTTGGCCACGATCTTACAGGCAAATAGTCATACTGTTAGTTAAAAATTCTGATTATGGTTCTGATTTTTTTGTGTTTAATGTCTTATGTGATTTAATGTATTGTATTTATGTATTGTGTGTAATGGTAGATGAAGTGTCTTTGATCTTTTACTCCATTAGTATTGGTATATCTTTGTTGCTAACTTCTTCTTTTAATATTGATAACCAGAGTCTGCTGCATTTTGTTTGTGCAGGTAATATGTATAGTATGGCTCACACAATACTATACATATTACCTGCTACTGTTATAATTTTCCCTCAGGCATGAACTGTATATTCTATAAGTAAATTTGATACTTCATAGGGGATCACCGTGAAATAGATAATAGAAACACTTGAATTGCTTTTTTAAATTTAATTACTACTATTGACAAATGAAAGGAATGATTGCAATTTTTACCAACTAAATGACATGAGTTAAATTAATACGTTGTTTACAATATGGTATTATGAACTATACTAATACCTGGAGCTTGATGTATGGTGCTAATTTAAAAATTTTAGGTTACGCACTTGTCTTTGAATTAATTGTTTCAAATGTTCTTATTTTTGAAAAGCTATATAAATACCTGCTGTCTGTACCTGTTTGCCAGTATCTTCTAAACAATATGATGGCAGTTGTTAGATGTGATTTACCGTGAAGTATTAATTATGTAACTCTGTCATCACACTACACTAGATTTCGATTTGACTCCAATCTACTCTATTTCCATATGGGGTATATTGGCGATCACACACAAGTAACGATACCACTTAAAATAATTGAATTTAACTAGCCACTGCTAATTAAATAGAGATTCTAGGATAATTACACCGGATTGTCTGCGGATGTTTCACGTAGGTGATTACTTGTTCACAGATAACAAAAGTGAGATTTTTGTAATAGAAAAAACTTCGAATAATAATTTTGTGGCAGTAATAATGACAGAAACAATGCTTTTCAGAGATGTGTTGGGAGTTGACTATGTAGTTGTTTTTAATTTGATAGGGCCGAATTGGTGTGTGCTCCACACCTGTTAATGGGTTTGCTGCAAATTTTTCTTTATTAAGATTAGATCTGCTTCTTTAATTTTTCTCTTTTTGGTGTTTGTTTCTTTCATGACTATTGATCTATCTTTTCACTGTACTCTCACGCATAAAATACGAAGCACAGAGAACAAACACCATCCTAGAAATTTTCAACTAAAAACATGATTATTTGCCTACAAGATCGAGGCCAAGTGATCACCGGTCAAATTTGTCAAACAAAAGCGCCAGACAACTAGATAAGAATAATACCTTATGTAAACACAGATGTAAAAAGTAATTTTTATTAAAATCAATTGTGTCTTTCATTTAATTCTTATAAATCTTTCCTAGTTTCCTGTTTATTTTAATTTAACTAAGACTTAAAAAAAGATTGAGTTTATAAAATTAGTTTATGTTACTTTTTTTTAGAAAATATACAAAAGAATAATCGAATACCAGTAGAAGTCGAAATTGAATCAACGGAATCTGGGGGTTCCGGAGATTGTGTAAAAGGCTACCCTTGTAATATAGTTTGTACTAGACCAGAGTATTATACCTTACCGCCTCCAGAAGAGTTGATGAAGTACGTTGATGAAGATGGACGATGCATAGTAAAAGGTTTCACAATTGGACGGAAAGGCTATGGAAATGTTTATTTTCCGGAAGAAATGGATGTTTCGGGGCTAAATTTAGATGAGTTTGTTCATTTTAGGTACAGAGAGATAAATATTTACCCAGACGATGACAAAAAACCACCTATAGGACAGGTAAGGGCATTTTAGAATTTTACATTGTAACAACTTCAATGGCACATGAGCTTAATAAAGTTTTTTTTTAAGTATATATATATATATATATATATATATATATATATATATATATATATATATATATATATATAAAGGCATCGCTGGTACAATCAAGAGTGGTGCTGACAGCAGTACGGTATGCGATGTGTTAGGGTACGTTCATAACGGAGATCATCGCATCGTATCCTCGCCTAGATCATAGCACTGACAGTGAACGCTCGCATTTAAAATAATGCATGTATTTTGCCTGACGATCGATACCTTGATCCCTTGATCGAAGCGAGGGTTGGTGGTCGGCACCTTGTAGTGTCGATCGTAGAGTACTAGGGTCGAGGGTCAAAAAAATACTAAGCTTGAATACTATGGTCCAAGTCTATGGTCCGATACCTGGCTCGAGGCTGGGCGCTGCGCTTTGACAGTGAACGCTGGCATTTTTAAAATAATGCATTTATTTTACCTGGCGATGATATGATACCATCCTATGGTCCGAGCGAGGGTCGGCGCCTCATTATGAGCGCACACTTAGGATTCAGGGGATGGCTTAAAGGCCACCGTGGAGATCGAAAAGAATGTTGCGAATGTGTTTGTTGAAAAAGTGACGATTGAAGGTAGGCTTTGTAGCATGCCTTGTAAGGGAGGAAGTGCTTATCCTGCGATGCTATATGTGTCAAGCCTATTTATATACCAGGAATGAATGCAAGGAAGAAGAGCGTAAGGGATGCTGCCGATGTGGTCTAGGGCACATATTCAAAGATTGCACGACCAAGATAAAGTGTTGCATGAACTGCAATATAGAGGGTCATTTGAGTGGGCCGAGAGACTATCCTAATTTCAGACGTCTGGTCAACGAAGCCAGATGTTGCTCCGGAAGTGGGGCTTAAAGAGGCGTGTATCCTTCTCTCGACATGTCAACTAATCGCGGTGCTAAGCTGAGGGTTCTCCATGGGCACGGCGAGACTGTCACACCATCTCGTCCTGGCTTCCGCCCCTGAGGGTGGATGTGACTCTGAAGGTTGAACCGAACCGCACGTTGGTCAGGAATCAGGATTGGTTTGTGGATGACGCTGGTGTGCATATCGGAAATCGCAAATTTAGGGTGCATGGGATCGATGCTGATATGGATTATATATCGGTGAGAATAGAGAGACTGAATCTGGTCTGCTGCTATATTTTAGCGAATATAGTGGTAAATGAGTACGAGAATGGGTTAAGTGCCATTATGGAAAAAATGAGGTGACTGGGTAACGAGTGCGTAGTGTTCAGCGGTAGTGTTCAGCGGCTTCAAGGCAAAATCTGCAAAATGCGGTTCGTCGACCACTGACACTAAGGCAAATGTTGATGGATTGAGTCGGGGCGTTGGACCTAGTGGTTTTAAACACAGATTTTGAGCGAAAATTTTTGAGAGATGATTCCAGCTCGTACATTGACGTTACCTTTGCCACGCAGGGAGCCCTCCAATGTGTCAAAGACGCGGGCAGTTCTGGCTGAGCATCGACTTCTCGATTGGTAAGATGGAAGACGTTGAGGGTAGATCCAAACCTTGCCTGTCGAGGGACCGGAGATATCGAGGTCTCGACGTCTTACACGTTCGGTGGAAAACCTCGAGCAGGTTATGAAAGCCGTGGTGCATATTGGTGAAATTGGAACAGTGCGTGTGGTATGAATGCCTTACTAGTGTGTCGAGATAGAGCAACTGAGGAGGTAGTGCGTGGCCCTTCGCCGGCACTTGACAAGATTGAAAATTCATCGGATCGGGGAAGAAGAGGAATGTGTGAGTGTGAAAAGTTTGACAAACGGATGAAAGAAAGAAGTTTGAAAGATAATGTAACTGTAGAATGTTTGATTCCATGATAGAAATGGTGGAGAAAATTATCAAAGATGAGTGTTGGTAGACAAGGATCCACAAATTTATCGGTGAGCTGTTCTCTTCAAAAGAACGAGAGAAGAGGGAACTGGCAACTGAATTCTAAAACGAGCGAGTAGCACATCGGTGGGGTCGGGACTGTCACAGACCAAAATAGGAGGGCATGAGAGAGGCGACATGTGAGAGATGGTAGCCTCGCTAAGTCAGGAGCTTGAAAGTTTTTGGTGGTTCTTGTGGGTGTGGTTTTTCAGATGAATGTGTGAAAATCGGGTGATAGGAGGGCATCAGGAGAGATGTTATGCCTTAACCGGCGCAGAGGAGAGGTTTTTAGTTGGACACCGACCGTTTCGGTGTGGTAACGGGACGAAGTTGTAAAGGTCTAATCACCTCGTGCATCACGTCCTAGCGCAACTTCGTGGGTATTAGGAACCCAACACTACCTGGGCCACAGATATCTGTATGCAGATTTTTCTTCTTTTCTAAAGATGAGACGAAACAAGAAAAAAATTGGAAAAAAGATCTTGAAAAAATAAAAACAGAAGCAGTAAACAATAAATACGCAGAAGGCATAGCAAAAATACAAAAGAAAAAACAAAAAGCGACAAAACTAAATAAAAAGAAAAAATCAGAATGGAAAAAAGAGCAGATGTAAACAATACAGCAAGTAACAAAGGCAAGAAAAAACTATATGGATATATTAAAGAACAATGTAATAACAATGAAACAACAGTAAGACATAAAATCAGTAAAGAAAGCATTTCTATAATTTGTACAAAATGATACAATACAAGAATATTGTGGAAGTAGAGTTAAGGGATGAAAGAGACGAAGAAGAAAACGCTCCCACATATAAGGAACTTATTGAAACAGTGGAAAGATTGAAATCATGCAAAGCAGCAGGACCGGATGGAACTAACAATGAATTAATAAAAAATGGAGGAGAACTGATTCACCGGATTCATAAACAAATAAAAATTATATGGAATTCGAAAAATGTGCCTATGAAGTTGAGAAAGGGTCATATAACATTATAAAAAATGAGACCCAAGAGATATCAGTAACTATAGAGGAATCATGCTACTGAGCACCACATACAAAATATTGACAATCATATTGGGAAACAGAATAAATAAATACACCAAAAATTCGCTAGGACAAAACAAACAATGCTTCAGAAAACGAAAATTAATCATAGATCCATACATCTACTAACACATAAATGTACACCGACTATTTATAGACTTACAGCAAGCCTTTGATCAGATCAGAGAAGATAACAGAATGAAGATACCTAACTAGAGAACAAAAATAGAAAATTAAAAGGAATGAAACATAGAAAATAAAAACGATTGGAGCTTGATCACTAATCAGGCGAAATCACACAACAACCTGTGAATGAAGACGGTAGAGAACAAGAAAACAAAGAAAAGGCAGAGCGATCTAAAGACGGAATAGAAGAGCTCATACTAATAAGCAGCTTATACTCCTGTCCAGTAGTGGTAGGTTTATACATTTCCAAAATATATGAATTTTTGAGATTTTAAATGGAATTGAATGATAATTCTGTGAGTGATTAATGCAACATTACATAATTTTGTCTCGTTTTTTTATCTGTTCTGTTCAAAACAATAATCTAACAAGGAATCAATATAATGGGGTTAAAAAATCTTTCATATGCACCTTTTATTTCTATTACTTCTACAAGGTACTACTTTTAGGTGATTGTAAATAATATGCTTTAGAAAATATCAAATTTATTATTTAAATAAAATTTATTGACATGCTTATTTAAAATTTTTAGGGTCTAAATCGAAAAGCTCAAGTAACTTTAGATAATGTCTATCCAAAAAGACCAGGTAGCAACACGCTGGTTAAAGATATCAATGAACTTCAACTAATGAACTTTTCTGAAAAACTTCGTAAAATAACAGAAAATAAAGATGCGAAATTTGTCGATTACCGACCAGAAACTGGATCGTGGGTTTTCAAAGTAGAACATTTTTCTCGATATGGTTACGATGAAAGCGATGACGAGGCGGCACCATTAAATAAAGAAGCTGCTGAAAAAAAAGCAGCAGAAAAAGCTGCCAAAGCCGTTATTGCTCCTATTCCTAAATCAGTGGAAAAACAAGTTGAAAAAGAAACTGTTGAAAAAACAACACCAACTAAATCTCAGGTAAATATAACCATTATTCATTCCAATAAAGCCTGCACATATGTAAACAGTACTACCTAAAGTAATAACATATGCAGGATCCTAATATAATTACACTAGTCATAAAATCAAAGTAACAAAATTTAGCTTAACAGTTAGTTACCTCTTTCTTTATTTTGATGCACTGGATTAATTAGATAATAAAGTGATAACAAACGTATCAGTATGGTCAAAATATATTACAAGTCCTTCTACACGATCTTCAATAAGATTGTTCTGCCGCCATATTTATTTTTCTCCTTTTTCTTGTACACGTGAAATGCATTTACATATATTGTGTTACATGCGAACGTGATACTGTAATCTCACCACTTTCACTGGAAATTTATTTGGATACATATGTGTGATATGTATGTCTTCTTAAATTTAGTTGGCATATACTTACTTACTTTCCGTGTCCGGATCACTTTTTATATTAGATACTGCCAATGTTTCGCCACTTTAATGACCCTATCATGCCTGGGTCCAGTCCATGCAAACCAATAGATGTTCGGAATTTTGCTCTTCGCCGCAGTCGCACTTGTCATTTTCTGTATAGTCCTATCTTTTAAGTTTGACCTACACAGTGGCGTGTCGGAGTCTATTTAGATACCTCATGTGGTGTAGGGTAATTTATGGTCTGTAAACAAACATGAGATGGCGCATACTCAGATACTATCTTTGTAAAGTGGGAAAATTTTGAGAGCAACATGCAGATTCTGGGAAAATGCAGCGGAAACGGATACAGTGTAATGGATCGCCATTATAAATTATTCTAATGTTCATTATAGAAATACCCAATATCCACGTAAACATTACTCACATCACTTAGTGCTTCTTATAACTACCCTATATCTTGAAATCCCTATCTCCTAAGCCTATCTCTTTTAATGGGACTTTACTTTCTAAATTGGAAAAAAAGACAATTTTTAAATAATAAAAACTTAATTTATGGTTATAATTTTTTTATTCATTGTTAAGAAGGTTTTGAGGCCTACAAAAAATTCTTTTTGGATTTTTTAGTTGTTTTTTATCAGTGCAGAGGGCGTCTTCCAAAAGTTGCATTTTAGGAGACACTTTTCTGTTTTCCTGTAATAATTTTTGAAGCGAATCTTCTATATTGGCGTTACTTTTTCTCTATAGTAAAATGCTGAGGCGAGCGTCACGGAACTATCGCCAGAAGAAGGCGTCGTCACGGGTGGTGTCATAAAATAGCGGTTTTTTCACTTTGATTCACTACTCTCTATCAATTCGTTTCTAGTCATCATATATTTATTCTAAGCAGGTTTAAATTAAATACTACATGAAAAATAACGCAAAAAAATACAGACATTAAATGAAAAGTAAACAATTAAAAGAATATATGTCAATAAAAGATTCGATTCGCTACGATTGTCAAAATTTAAAAGTCATAAATGGTAACCGACTTGTTGATGCAAATAAAAAGGCGATAATTAAACATAAAAAGAGTATTTTTTCTCGGAATATGAAATTTGGAATTTGAAATTTGATTTTAGTCTGTAAAATAAACTCACAAAAGTAGTATTTTTAGTAGTTTTTCAATAATAATAACAATTCTTAAGATTTGAAACTAGCATTGTCTAATGTAAAATTTAATTACAAAACTTTTATAATCTATACAAAATTATTCTAAAACTAAATAGTTCTTGAGATATATACGGAAAAAGGAGAAAAATATCCAATTTTTTTAATGTTTTTTTATATTTAGTTTAATAAAAAGTTGACCTCACATTTTACAACTCACGCATAGTGAAATTATGATTTATAACATGATATAAGGAAACGAGGTATGCTCACAGGCATCTATTTTGAACAGCCAATCGCGTTTACGACCAAAATCCGCCATTTTGAAGGCGGCAATTCAAATATGTACAAAATTGATAAAAAATATCGTAGTTAAATAAAATAAAATCAATATTATACATTAATCCAATTAATTCAGATTTAAAATGATCTGAACAGACTCTTGCTAAAATAATTTTTAAAAAAATCGAAACAAAACAAAAACAAATTTACTTTTAAATTCCAATGCATTGCAAAGTAAGGTTAAAAAATGCAAAACACTTAGCTGGACCACAGAATAATAAACAATTAGAATGTCCACTCTCAGAGGCCGCCTTTGAAGTTTTTCAGCACGCGCGCCATGTTTTAGAAGGAAACACATAACACAGACACACACAGACATATGATTTGTGAGGTTATGTAATTGTTTATATTTATGTTAAATTATATTATATTTATGTTATTATATTTAACAATGTTAATATAATTATATAGTATGTCTATGATTGCCGTAAGTCAAGTAAACCGGGTTAATTTTTCTATGCGCACCACATAAACAACACTGGTTCCCTCTAAAACATGGCGGAACGTCTGCGCGTACTTAATTTTCCATGGAGAGTGGGAATTCTGATTTTTTATTATTCTGTGGCTGGACGTAAACAAAGCAGACGTCACGCATGTAACGTATTGAAAAAATGGTGGATTTTGGTCGGCGCAGCGATGTGCAAAAACGAGTCCACCTAGTGAGCATACCTTGTTTCCTTATATCATGATTTATAGTGATATTTTGGAGCGATTTATGCAAAAAACTGCGATTATATGCTTCACACCCAAAAATCGTCATTTTACAGATACTGCCCAGACTATCAGAAGAAAGATAATTCGAAACTAGACCATATTTTTAAAAAATTAGTGATGTGATCATTCTAACGCAAATTTTAAATCGGTTTAAAATTATTGTTTTGAGGAAGCTCATTTTTTAACGAAATATGAAGAGTCTTAAACTAGATTAATATTATAAACGTATTGATCGATAATTTTAATGGTCAATATAAACTAGTTTAAATTTTAGTTTATATACTAGTTTTAGAATTTGTATAACTTAAAAGTTTAGAAATTGGTATATATATATATATATATATATATATATATATATATATATATATATATATATATATATAATAGATTTTTATTTCCACAAGTTGTTTTGAAAGTACAAGTTTGACGTATATTTATAAATTTAAATGTATATTTTTGATTTATTATTTATTATAATTGTCTTATATTTTGTATTCTTTAGGTTTCAAAGTTCGGCCTTGATGATGATATTTTTGTTGAAGAAGGTGCACATTTTCAACCAGAGGACGATTTAATAGAAACAGCTATGTATGTAGACAATATCTCGGAAGAAGATTACCACGTAATACCCACGGATATTCCTTTACATTTAACACACGATCAATTCACTTCTTGCAAAAATATACAAGTTATGAAGTCTACTTTATTCGCTGAGGATGACAGATCATCTGATGGTGGTGGTAGTCATATTTCCATAATAAGACAATATTTGGATATTCCAGAAGAAATTCGTAGACTTCCTGTATTAAGAGAAGAATGTCCGCCTAAGAAGAGAATTATGTTGAGGCCTAAAGTTGAAAAAGTTTATAATTTTGCTAGTAAGTGTAAACAGCATGCAAAAGTTATTTGGTGCTACTATAGTATAGGTGCGCAAGTTGAAACGGACTTGAAATGTATATGGATTCTGCTTTAGTTATTGATTAATACACAACGCGTATTATTGAGCTATCGACATGATTTTTTCGGGGTTATTTTTTATAATGGCCATCTTTTTTTGCAGTGACTGCGAATATCGCCCGCACCAAACATTTTTACTATTTTTGTACATCATTGGGATTAACAGTATAATTTAAAAAATTACATTTTACCAAATTTTAAGTAAATTATAAACATTTTAAAATAATTTTAATAATTTAGCACGTTTTAGTAAGATTTTTACAATAATTTAATAAGTTATAAAATCATCGTAATAATTTTTTTAACGTTTGTTTGCAAAATGTTATACAGCTGTGGTGGTGTTTGAGGAAAATTTCTTAAAACTTGCGAATGACAAGGATATGTTAGTTATTTTAGTATCAAACTGTAATTGAAGGTTAGGCGAATTTGGAACATCAAACATGATTAGGTGAAGTTTAAAAAGGCTCTGAAACTGTTTTCTTGTGGCACGTTTAAATTATGCATTATTTTATGTGGGATTCAACCATAATAGATTGTAATTATTTTAAAGTTTCGATTTCCATTTGATCAAATTGATTTTTGCCATACAGCGCCACTACATAAACATTTTCAGGTTAAATATAATAATTTCTCAATTAAAAAATTTTTGAACACGATTATCAAATTGGAAATCTACACAATAGTATAAATATGAAGAACGTCCTAAAAATAAGGTAATAACCACAGGGTGTTGGATTCAAATATGAGAACTATTTACCTGTAATTTAGAAACATCTCAAACACTAACGGTTCAAAAAACTTATAACGATATAATAATTTATTAAAGTGAGAGCAATAGAATAACACATACTTACAATTTAAAGTCTTTCAAAATAAGTCTTTATGCACTACTATCCAAATATCATTGTGGAGACTGGGTGGAGATATGGCAACTCTGGGTGTCTAAGGCTTCCAAGCAACTATGCGAGAACCAAAAATTGTTTATTTTTGGTTTACTCAAACAGAATGTTTTTGGATAACTTTTTTTTATCTTATAAGCGGGACAAATCCGTGGATCTGGTACTATAGTACTACTCTGAAACTATATAATGGAGTAAGTACTAGGAAAGTTTTGACGGACTTTCGAAAGAGTGAAAAAAGTGAAAGGATGTGGTAACTGAGGATGTTGCTTGTCTGTCTTAATTCACCCTGCTTCTTAGGCAGCTCAGTCTGGTTGTAGGCGGGTCTTTTTGGTATTAGCTGTGTCTGTTATGCACTTCAAACACTAACACTGTTGTCATTTACATATTTATGTGCTTTGCGACGTTGCCAATTTATTTTCAAAGGTGAAGAACTTTTATTCACAAATAAAAATAGTTTTTAACAGTTTTATATGTTACATGTAAATGGATTTATTTGAACAATCCATTTTAACCCTCAAGTGGTCGCTAGACTATTTTTTACACAAGTAGTCGCTTGGCGTACTTTGTGCCAGACAAAAAAGGAAGTATTTAAGTTAACACTCTACATTTCTTAAATACATAGGAATAAGTAAACACATATTGTATGTAAAAAATATAATAAAGTATGAAATACAAAAATAAAAAAGAATTCTTAGATGAACAGAAAAAGATACAAAAAAGATTTCATTTTTGTATTTAACAAAAAAGGACTTTCTGTTTGATTTTTATGATTCTGACATTCTAAACTAATATGTGTGGTGATCACATGCTCTTTACATGTTGGTGTACATGCATATTTGGCACTTTGTTGTGGTTGCCCTTTTTTTTTCGACCTCACTGGGTACACTTTCCTCTTGTTTTTCGAGTAGTTTTGGAGTATCAGTCTCAGAACTCTTATATGGAGCTAAGTAACTTCTGATACCAAAAGATAGGTTGGTGATATTTGCCCTCTATTGCAAATGAGGTGTCATTAGAGAATCCGCTTAATTTTTTAGAAATTTTTCTGGAAAATATTAGAATTTATTGCTGCAATATTCATAAGCTGATAAAATACGACCAATTGCCACTGTCTAGGTTGTCTTTAGACAGTGTAATTGCTGCAAATTTGGTCGACTACATCGATCCCTCCTTTAATTTCATTGTAGAATAGTACTATGTCTGGTTTGCCTAACTTCTCATCTACAGAATCATCATCGTGTTGCGTAGAAAGTAATATTACAGCTTTATTCCTTTTTCCACTGTAGGATACAAGGGTGGTTTCTTTTTGAAATGCAAAAATTGAGGAGTGTATAGGTCTAGTTTTGCTTGGTTATAATTCCGGTGGGATTTCTTATTTATTTATTTTTTTTTTCCAAAGTACCAACCAAAGTCATTTTTCGATCAAGAAGCTCTTGAAACAAAGGATAAGTGGTGTACCAATTATCTGTGGTCAAGTTAAGTATGAGTACAATATCTGAATGGAGATTATATTTTCATTCGGACTGCTTGCCACAGCAAATTTCTAAATTTGAGACAAAAAACATCTTTGAATCATACAATGCAAATATTTTTATTGCGTATTTGTTGGGCTTGCTAGGCAAATATTGTACAAAACTATAACGACCACGGTATGGAACTAAGATTTCGTCAATTGTAATACCTGGGCAGACATTTTTCCGACAATTGTCTGTGAATTTGTCTGTAATTTGTCGTCGAACCTAAGTGCTCCAGGAGAAACAGAAAACGTTTACATCCCATACATGCCGGAAAGGTTTGGATTCCTGTGCCATCAATGGTCCACATCTCTCTAAAATCAGTATGGCTTAACTTTTTTACACCAGCAAGGAAGAGAATTCCAAGAAATGCAAATATTTTCTCTGGCGTTGTTAATTTTGCATATATATCCCTTGTGTACCCTCCTTGAATTGTTGTAATAAAAATATTTGTGAAAAATGCACTTAGCTCGTCTTTAACACTTTCTGCATCGACTAGCGGTCACGGAAAAATTTTCACAAGATTTTTTGAGTGAGTTTTTCCATCATGTTTCTGGCTATCTCCTCTAACTCATCGCTATATTTGTATGGTACATTAGACCTAAAATAAATAATTACAGCATAATAAACTATACTTTTATTTATTATTTGCTCCGATAATCAAAAAAATATTGTTACTTACATAGTCGCTTGGCGTACTTTATGCACCACTTAGTAACACGCATCAACAATGACATCAATTCTAGTACTAAATTTGTATTGTAGTGAGGAAAATTTACAGTAAACTCCCTAAACTCTAACGTAGATGAACGTGTGGTGGGAGGATACAGGAGTGGCTTTGCCTATTTAACATCTGGATGTAAAGTTATGACGTTTTAAATAAGAATGGCGTACTTTTTACGCCTTAGCGGCCACTTATGGGTTAAACAAATGCCGTTTTTAGTAAATAAAAAAATTAAGATATCATGAAAATAAGATTTTAACGTGAGTTATAGCCGTTGACTCCGTAAGACAATACCCTCAATTCGATGTGTCAGCGCTTGGATTATGGATCAACCTGAATCGAAAACAGCAACTATTGAAATATAATTTATTTTTCTAATGGATAATATATTTCATTTAATTAATTACTATTCAGTCTGATTGTAACCGTTAAGAACGAAAGTTTAATAAAGTTCACGACATTCTCTCGTATTTCTGAAATTTTAAATAAATAATTATTTTTTTTAAATTGTCCCTGAATGGCAGTAACTATTAGTCGTGTTATTTTTCTTCCCTAATATACGAAGTAATGTAAAATTAGAGCAATTTTCTTTGCATGTATTTTATTATAAAATATTTTTAAATGTCCTTAAAATATTCCTATTTGGGCAGTTTTTTTTTAAAATTCTAGTGACATAGAATTATTAATTTGCAATCAGAAATAAGTAATTAAAGGCTTATATTTATAAAGGTCTTAGTTTTACGGGCGACGTATCTGTAGAGCCAACTTTACATCTCGTTTTTATAAAATATTGTAAACTTCTTTTTTATTTAAAGATTGAAAATGTTTTTAGAATATGCTTTAGACGGCTTTATCGTCCAGGATGTTCGGAAGACAATATTTTCCAAAAAGATGTTCCACAATGAAGAAGAAAACAACTGTACTATATGATTTTGAGAATTATGTGTATATTTGATAGTAATTTCATTCCGTCATTTAATTTAATCACTCTTATTCTCCAGAAATACATATATTCGGTATATTTGGAATCCAATAACTTGTGACTTAATATACATATTAGACTGCGAGTACTTAGGTGCAATATGTTTTTAACTTTTTTGTATGGCGTGGAAGCTTGGACCGTGTCAGAGGCCACCAGTAAGAAAGTAACAACTTTTTAAATTGTTACGAATATCGTGAACATCATGTGTCACCAATGAAGCAGTCTTGCAAAAAATAGCTCAACAACTACTTTTAACGGTAAAACAAAAGAAAACTGTCATACTTTGGTCACATATTACAAAACGAAAAATACCATATCCTTATTATGCAGGGCAAAATGAAAGGGAAATGGAACCATGTATTTAGTGGCTTAAGAACTTGACCGGTGCGGTGGTTGATCGGAAAAACTTATTAGAATTATTTAGGGTGAGGCTTTGTATAAGGTTTTGTGGGCTAAAGTGATTGCCAACATCCAATGCAGATAGGCGACTACAATTAGAAGAATATTGGAATGTGTACAATTTTGACTATGAATATATTAGAAATAACATATTTTTACACCATCAGTTAAAATCATTTATTATTTTGTGGTTAGATATTTATGATTAAGAAAATTTGTTATTTTGATAGCTTTTCGGGTAAAAATTTCCTATAGCCTACTTTTTTATATTTTATATTACTACAAAAAACACTTTAAGTTTTCTCTCTTTAGCTCCAAAGTCCAAAACATTTCGCATTTTCAACCTGTACTCCTAATCTATAAAATTACCTATTATTTTTTTCTAATTGTACTGAATTTTCTAGAAAAGGAGGGTAGTAATGACCTAATGCAGTTAAGAAGTTACCAAGACATGGGTATATTTAGGGGGAAATCATATAAAGTAGGATGGTCAAAAGGTTTCAACTTTTATAATGTGGTTGCCAAACCAGAAGGTGGTATCCAATTAATTTTCAATGATATTAAATGTGGCTCCATAAAGGAGTTTGAAGCTATTGATGTAAGTGTTTCGAATGTGTATGTTTAAAAATAGTCTTAATCTTTTTCTATTTTTAGGAAATTTTAGGTAAATCGTTGGAAATTGTTTTGGAGGAAAGCAGCTATGAATTAGATAGCAATAATATACCAACATTTACAATTACAAAAAATCATACATATTTAAAAAAGCAGTCCAAATTATTTTCAACTTTACTAGAAAGACATAACACTAAAGAAGCTAAATATTTACATAGTATATGGACTTTAGCGGATTCGCTTTGGGGACCCAGTGAAAATACAGTTTCTAACCGAAGATATCTTCTTAGTGAATGGTACGGATTTGTACTTAACACATTTGTGTCAAGATTTGATTTTTTTTAATTTTTCTTTAAAAATTTAATATTTTTTAGTTAAAATATAATAATTCAAGGAAACGCATTATTTTTAGCAATTTGATTTTTAGATCGGTCAGACTCAGGTGTAATTGTTGATATGGTTATGATATTGTTATTTTTATGATTATATATATACAGGGTGGTCCTTAAGTAATTGTACAAAAAGAAACCGCAGATTCTATACTTTAAAATATTACGATTTAAGCCAACTTACTTTAATAAAATGTTGATATTAAAAAAGATACAGGGTGTTAAAGTGGAAATTTAAAATTTTATTTTTCGCTATAACTTTCATGTTTGTAAACATTTATATATAAAAATTTACAGCTGGGTACTATTTAATATCAGGAATTATAATTTGATGAATACTTTGATATAGCTAATAGAGGGCGCCACATACGCCACATACGTCGCATACATTTGCACTTAACTTTTTTGTTCTTTAAGTTACCGGTATTTTTGATAAAAAATATTAAAGATACATTATTTTAACAAAAAAAAGGTATACTTGTTAATAACTTCAAAACTCAACAGTTTTCGAGATAATCGCATTTTACAAATCAACTGCATAATTCTGATTTAACGCAATTTCTCCAGGCAATGAAAGAAAAATAGATAAAAACATCAATACTACCGAAGTTTGTTATAAAATACCTTTAATAAAGTCAATAATTAACGAAATATTAAATAAAATAAATATATCAGCAGGATAATTAATAATAGGATCTGATAAAATAACAGAATAATTGGATTTTACATCAAACATTTTACGTTTTGTATTAAATTAAAGTCATAATCAAAACATTTTATTTACAAACCAAATTAAGAAATAGTTACACTAAATAACATTAAACTTTTTGTCAAAGTAAGTGTTCGATATGTCCACCATTTTCTTTAATTCATTTGTCAATACATTCCATAAAATATCGTCTCATATTAAATAGCATCATTGGTTCTAAAGAAACTGCTGCAGTATTGATTATAAGTATTACAAGTATAATAATAAGTAATTTTTTGAAATTTTTATGAATTAAAAAATTATATTATTATCTCACCACAAGAATATGACTACAACGAACAATCGAACGTTCAGGAAAGTGTATTAAATACTGTCTCACTCCGCTTTCTCTGTAATGTAATGGTTTACCATCTTGTAGACACCACATAATATTTCACCTTAAGTTTGATGAAAATTCTTTCAATATATCAATAAAACCATTTTATAAAAAATGTAAATAAATCTCGTTATTCAAATTGCAAGGTAATTCGCATCATTCAAAATTCATATTTAAAATGCATGTCTTATGGTTTGGAACCATTGAGAATTATTTTTTACGGATATGCGAATTACCTTGCAATTTGAATCACGAGATTTATTTACATTTTTTATAAAATGGTTTTATTGATATAATGGAAGAATTGTCATCAAATTAAAATATGTGGTTTCTACAAGATGGTACACCATTTCATTACAGAGAAAGCGGAGTGAGACAGTATTTAAATACAACTTTCCTGAACGTTGGATTGTTCGTAGTAGTCATATTTTTGCGGTGAGATATTAATATAATTATTTAATTTATAAACATTTCAAAAAATTACTTATTATTATACTTATAATACTTATAATCAATACTGCAGCAATTTCTTTAGAACCAATGACGCTATTTAATATGAGACGATATTTTATCGAATGTATTGACAAATGAATTAAAGAAAATGGTGGACATACTGAACACTTACTTTGACAAAAAGTTTAATTTAATTTACTTTAACTATTTCTTAATTTGGTTTGTAAATAAAATGTTTTGATTATGACTTTAATTTAATACAAAACGTAAAATGTTTGACGTAAAATCCAATTATTCTGTTATTTATCAAATCCTATTATTTTATTCTACTGATATATTTATTTTATTTAATAATTCATTAAATATTAACTTTATTAAAAGTATTTTATACCAAAATTCAGAAGCATTGATGTTTTTCTTTAATTTTCTTTCGTTGCCTGGAGTAATTGCGATAAATCAGAATTATGTAGTTGATTTCTAAAATGCGATTATCTCGAAAACTGTTGAGTTTTGAAGATATTAACAAGTATACCTTTTTTTTGTTAAAATAATGTATCTTTAATATTTTTTATTAAAAATACCGGTAGCTTAAAGAGCAAACAAGTTACGTGCAAATATATGCCACATATGTGGCATGTGTGGCGCCCTCTATCAGCTACATCAAAGTATACATCAAATTATAATTTCTGATATTTAATAGTACCCAGTTGTAAATTTTTATACATAAATGTTGACAAACATAAAAGTTATAGCGAAAAATAAAATTTTAAATTCCCAGTTTAACACCCTGTATCTTTCTTAATATCAACATTTTATTAAAGCAACTTGACTTAAATCGTAATATTTTAAAGTGTAGAATCTACGGTTTCTTTTTGTACAATTACTAAGGACCACCTGTATATATATATATATATATATATATATATATATATATATATATATATATATATATATATATATATATATATATATATATATATATATATATATATATATATATATATTATATATATATATATATACTTGTGTGCAAAACAACCGACTCAAAAGTGATATTTGAGATTACACTTTCTGTTTCAATGTAAGAAGTATGAAAATAAAAAGATGTAATGTACAAACAATAACTTTATTATTGAACTTGCTACAAAAACTGCTATTGCATTATTTGGAAGACGCACTATAAAACAATATACAATACGAACAGAGTTTCCTTAATATTCGTCATTGGAACTAACGCAAGAAAGACGTTATGAACAGAGAAATCATAAATAACAAAATGAATTTCTTTATTTTTCAGTATTTGATATTACCACCCCTACTCCTAATTACACTTTCACATCGATCTCGCATGGATCGGATGACTTTTCTAATAAATTCTTGAGCCATTGCTTCCCATTCATCATTAAGCGCTCATTCATTATGCATCATTCCATTATGCTACTTGGTGCATGATTTCTGACCCGGACCCTTCGTTTAAGCTCATCCCAAACATGCTCTATTGGATTTATGTCCTGGCTCAACGCAGGCCAATTTATTGTAGGTATACCTATCTCAGTCATATAGATGGTGGTGACTCGTGCGGTATGGCATCGTATATTAAAATAAAGGCATCACCAATAAATCCTGCGTATGGAACCACATGTTCCTCCAAAATGTCTCTGATGTAACGATCTGCCGTTAAATCTCCTCCACGTAATCCACCAGGCAAGAAAACCAACTCGGTTTTCCCATCCATGGAAATGCCTGTCCAAAATATACAAGAACCACTCCATATGACACAATTTCTCGTATACAACATTGAGCAAATCTGCTCTCCTGGCCTTCTATAGACTCGACGCCTCTTGTCGTTGCCATGTAGGCAGATCCTACTTTCGTCGGAGAATAATACCTAACTCCACTGATGGTCCTCCCAATCCAGGTGTTCGCGAGCAAATTCTAATCGCCTTTGGGGCTGCAGTTTGCTTGGGCCCACAGCTGCCCTTTTCGGTATCAGGTTGTTGCATTCAGTCTCCTTCTGACTGTAGTAACACTGATAACCACACCTCGGACCTCTCTAAGCTCTTCTTTGAGATTAGCACCAGTCAAATTTCGATTTCTTAGGGATTTTGATACAAGAAATCGATCATCTCTCTCCGTTGTTATTCGTTTACGGCCTCTCTTGTCGGCGGACATAGTTACCAGTATTTTGGTACCGACAATACACTCGAGACACAGCAGATTGACTTAAATTTAGTAGATTTGACACGGTCCTCTGGCTCAGGCCTTTTCTCAATAATGCTACTGCTTGACCTGCTTTGACGGATGTGGTATCCATTTGTAATGCAGTTGCGAACTTAAGTGACTGATGTCTTAGTGGATTGCTATGGAAATTGATGCGGACGATGTTAACCGAACACGTTAAGTCGGTGCGTATCGATTTCAATGAGTCAAATTCTGACGCCCTCTCCACGTGTTGCATTATGTGTTTCTAATACGGCATCAGATTCACCAAAAAACAAAACTTTTTTAAAACTCGTTATTGAGGTTAATGATTATATACTACGAATTTTTAAATTTACACTTTTTAGATTAAAACAGGGGACGTACTTTCGCAAAATAATTTTGAGTCAAATATTTTGCACTTAAGCATATATATATATATATATATATATATATTATATATATATATATATATATATATATATATATATATATATTATAATTTTTGCTTATTTATTAACTGGGTACATAGTAAAAATTAACCTGTTTTCTGTATCTGCTCCATTAACTATGATAAATCTTATAACAATATATGGACCATTTTTACATGTATTATTTTACCTTATATACTTATCCTAATATTTGTTTATTAAAATATCAAAAAATAAAACGATTCTGAAAAATCTATTATTAAAAATTTCTTGTATTGTGTTTTACTACATTAAAGATTTGTTAAGCTTTGGTTTTAAAAATGGCTCACGTTCGCAATTTATTCAACAAATGTAAAGCAGTTATTATTTTTGAGTAGGCTGGCTGTAACTACCACGAAGCCGTAAGAATTTTTAGTCAAGTCTTAACCGTCATATTGATTGACATTATTGTATTATAAATGTTATGTCACAATTCTTTGTGAATCCGTCTGTAACAAGCAGAAGTATGTCAGTCAAAAAACAGTTTTGAGCATCATTTAAAATATAAATGGCATCCATATAAATTGCAAATGTTTCACGAACTAACGGAAGCTGATACAGACAGACGAAGGAATAGTGTGGAACTATGACCACTACACTTTATCAAAATCGCGATTCTTTGATTCTTTTTTTTTAATGAAGGTTTTACACAATTTCCGGAATATTAATGTAAAAATAGAAAATAGTAAGATGTAGCTCTCCTATACATTACACACATTTTTAGCTTATTGATAATTATAGCTAATATTAAACAATACATACCAATAGAATACACCAATAGAGGTGAAGTTAGCTTAAATTGTTTAAAAAATCACAGCTGCTTTTTGTTATAACAATTAGTAGTTAAAATTGGCACTATTCAATAGCTAAAGGCTTATATTTTATGGGGATATAATTTTTATTCTTAAAAAACGTATTTTGTTAAAAACATAAGTAAAGTTGACTGTTTTTTCGAGTAGCCGGATTTATATATAATAATTCGATACTTTAACCCTTTCGCTGCATAAACTCTACATGCGCACCCTCCAATTTCTTTGTACAATACGTATGGCGCACTTAAGCGGCCTATGTTTATGGTGATCTATCCAATATTTAAAGATCACAGTTTCAGGAGTTCAAAACAACGTTGTCCGCAGTTTGTTAAAGGTAACTTCTATTCATAGATGGCGTCGCGACTCAGTGACTCACATAGTTAGGTTTGCAACACTATGATGGAGTCGCGGATCGGTGACTCATGTAGTTAGGTTTTCCGTAACCGTAAAAAATGAGGAAATTAAATCACTTTCAATTGTTCAATTTAATAAATATATGGGTGGAGTAGATCTTTAAGACCAAATGTTTTCTTATCATTCGCAGACAAAACTTTACGTTGGTACAAAAAAATTGGCATACATCTGTTTCAACTTAATGTGCGTAATGCTCATAGATTGTGTAATAAGCACCTAGGCAATAACAAGAAAATGTCATTTTATAAGTTTCGATTGTCAATACTTAAAAAGTTGTTACCAGAAAAAATGTCAAGAAGCAGCAGCTCCTTCGGGTTTAAACCACACACCTTCACAAATTTAGTTACGTAATGAACATGGTAGAACTCTTAGAAAAAAACTGTCGGACATGCAATAAAAATAAGATATGTAAGGATATTATTTATCATTGTCAAGAATGTCCCGATAAACCTGGCCTCTACTTAGGCAAGTGTTTCAGAGAATATCATGTATCAATATAAACATTACCAAAAATTAATATTTTTTTTACTCTTACATTTTTATATTCCTGTTTTTATGAACAAAATTTTAGTTTGGATCAAGAAAATTGTATTTAATTTACTAAATACAAAAATGTGTATTAAAGCGCGCAAGTGCGTCCTCCGAATTTTTAAAAGAAATTCTTTGAAAACTGGGTACAGCGCACATGGCAAAAATTCAGAAGAAAAATTGTTAATCGATTTTAATATATGTACAAAAAACGAAGATTGAACAAGTATCGCGTTTTTAAAAAAACTACTGCCGCACTGGTCAGCAGTATGCATTTATTTGACACAGCGAAATGGTTAAATCCCCGGCGCTCGGAAAAATTTATCATATCTCCCTAAACATGGACCAAATTCGCTCTTTTATCTGGGATAGCGGAAAATTTTGTGAACATTGGCGATATTTTTTTGGGCTCTAATTAAAAATTTAGTGACTATTAACATTTGTTTTTAAATTACTCTATGTTATATTTTTTATACTTTTAAATGTACATACATAATATACATATATACATACAGTGTATCCAATTAAGTTGGCATCATATGGGAAACGTGTTTATTATTAATTTTACGTGTAATGCTCAGTACGATTTCATGTTTCGTATGTGTATCCTATATTAACCGATATCGATCACCAATCTTTTTGTTATATTTTGAAGGTAAATCTTATCGTCTAACTTTTATGTTTTTTCTTGTTTAACAATAACGTTTGTCACCGGATTGACGTCGTATTTATTCTTAATATTGCAATTTTTTGAAACACTGAATACTCAGCTTCGGAAAATTGTTTCTTATTATATGTGAAATCTTTTGAAATCCAATCCTGGAGTCAGAAACTTTTGAGTAAAATCTATGAACTTCATGTCATTAATTGAAGCAGTACAATATCCATCATTGTATCGTCCGTGCGAGCTGCTGAATCCAGAGGTAACAAACCAAAAAGCTAAAACAAAAAATAATAATAAAAAGCTCTATAATAAAATCAATAATTTTTTCTCTTATAATAAAAAAACAAAATTATTAAAAAATGCGTACAATATTTCCTACCGTTACATATATATGTAAAATTCTTAAGCTAATACAAATCATGTCTACAAAAAAGTATCAAGTCTACACAGTACACACAAAATATGCATTTATAGATTTATAATAAACCTTTCCACACTACGATAAGAAAGATCTTTGTGTAAACTTTACATCCTTGTTTACTCAAAGAGATTTTAAAGAACGTATTGAGGGCATTGGCGAATACTTGCGGTGCAGTATATTACTCTTTACCCATTTCTACAGAGATATCTGCAACCCCTAAATTATGCTTTTTAGCCTGTAACTTTCTTTATCGGCCCAAGTCAGCGGCATCGTCTAGTCTGAACTGTAGGTTGTGACTATAGACGTTATATGTGCCTTTGAATCCACTATTTTGTCCTCTATCTTTCCTTTTATGGCTACCAAGTGTTCCAAGGTACTCGTAATCCGAACAGTAGGGACATACAAGTATTAATCAACGTGAGCCAAACTAGTTTGAACGTGAATTGCATTATGTAGAAAATCGATTATATATTTACGTACAACCTTAGGTTTTCGATACAATCATGACTTCAGTTTTGTTTGTGTTAAGCTTAATATTTTTCACTAATTTTTTACTAATATATATATATATATATATATATATATATATATATATATATATATATATATATATAATATATAAATTAATGTTCTTGGGTTTAGTTCAATAAAGATATGTTACATGTGGAACTAGATTTTATTTTATTGCAATCAATAAGTTTCGGCAGGAAACCTTGCTTTGTCAATTCAAACGTGACACAGCACGTGACACATCTAATATTGTCTCGTTATTTAGTTATTCTGATTATATAAAACAACCACTTATGTGGTTTTTGTTTTTGCCTAATTGGCCATATCACAAGCTTTTTTATTTCTTATCTAATATTCTAATCATTATTAGGTATATTTACCTGTTCGTCTCTGGATATTGCTTAGTCAGCATTTTAAAAATGTATTTTATTTCTAGGTTAAGAATGAATACAAATTATGCTGAACCTAGTGAAGAACCAGTACAGGAAATCTTTAATAATCTTTCCGTCTTCAAAATAAATGAAGCAGCAAATTTAGCTATAGATAAAAGACTTCCGAATTTGTCATTAATACTGTCTCAATTGAGTTTAACCAACAGAACAAAAATGTTCCTTCAAGAACAGATAGAAAGTTGGTATCAATCTATGAGTTCTAATCACATCACCGAAGATATGAAAAAAATATATCTACTTCTTTCTGGAATTCCTGTCAAAGACGAAGTAAATATTTTTGAGAATATTGACTGGAAACGAGCCTTTGGAATGCACATGTGGTAAGTTTTTTAACATTAATAGTATTGAATGTGCTTATTTTTTATGTATCTAACAAAGCTTCATTAAATTGTGTTATTAATAATGTAAAGATAAAATTTAGAGTATTTTTAAGAGCTTTTAAACCAAGAAAAGATAAAACCAAGAATAATGGAATTCTTATGGCAAAAGTAAATATCAAATTATTTTGTATATGTTGTCTTTTATAGCAGATCTTCTGTTTTGACTAAATGAATAATATACTTGAATATCGTTCCATCATCAAATTGTATTAAAACACCAGCAAGATAGCTGAATCCGCCAAGCCCATTTGCACCGTAAATTAATTTGTGTTGCTGTTTTGTGTTAAGCCTATTCTCCTTGGTACGTCGTTTTCTGTGCCGCATGTTGCATTTACTAGACTACTTAGATAGAATAACTCGTCTACTTCTTCTATTTGTTTGTCCTCCAGGTGTACAGGTTTCCTGTTGGTTTTTTTTTGCTTGTGAGTATTTTCGTTTTTTTTTACGTTTATATTTAATCAAACACTATTCGCTATGTCTTTTAATGTGGTCGTTATATTTTGTATAGGTGGTTTATTTGAAATTATCAGGCAGATGTCCGCAAATTCTAGGTGTTCTAATTTGTTAATAATCCCCATTGTAATCCTTTTATTTTTAGTTTTCTTCATTATCCAATTTGTTAGTGACAAAACGCATCCCTGTCTTAACTCCTTTTTTGGTATTTATTTGTTGAGATAGTTTGCCTTTGTAAACAACTCTTGCAGTAATTTGGTCATAAAGTTGACTTATTATTCTTGTCTAATATTCCGTAGTGTTTTAGTATATTTCACAATATAATATATATATATATATATATATATATATATTATATATATATATATATATATATATATATATATATATATATATATATATGCATACCAGAAATCTGGTTATTCTTTGATTCTTTAATATTTGTATTACATACATAAAAAAAATCATTTAATATTTATTTTTGAATGTGGAGTATAAATACATTTTTAATTTTAGGTATGTTTCTCCATCGGGAGCTCCAATTGAAATGGTAATAGAGTTATATAAAAAAGCATTCGAGGAGTACAATTATGCAGAATTGCCAAATCCACCTTATGAATATAATTATGCTGAAGATAATTCCTTTGATCTGTTGTATCACATATTGGTACTATATCAATCAAGAGCACATCGTTTGAGTACTGTTTTGAATTCAGGAACTCATACAGATAATCACCTAGATTACTGGTTAAGGTATAAACTGCTTTTAAAATATTTTATTTCACTTAAATGTTTATTTCTTAGTTAATATATTTGATTATCAAACATTATATTTCGTTAGACTGTTTATTTAAGATTTTATTTAACTCTTCACAATATTCTGTTTATAAATTACGAATCGCTTATATACTGTACTCTTATGATCTCTATGGTCTCTAGGAACATTTTATATCCTCTTTCTATCAACAGAAAACAAAATTATAGTGAAACTTTTAAAACCGAAGATGATGAAATCGAAATTACAATTGTCACTGAACAGGGAACATGCGAATGAATTCATAGCATATGATTCTTTTGAAAATCGGTGTGTCCAAGTTTTTTGTTTGTGCTAAAAATAAATAAGATAATGGGGCGGAATGGTAATGCTTGATTGAGAATTGACTATATTTTTTGACTAGGTAGACCAGGGCGGATCCTGGTCTACTGACGGACCCAGGCGAATGTGACGGCATTCGGATTTTTATAGGAAAAATGTATTTGTTAACTTCAGTAATAATCATCAATAAAAAACATCAATTTTTTTCTACTTGCTGCAAAATAGCAATAAATACAAAAAAATTAGGGGGAAACAAATCTTTTCTTATTAAATGTTTTTCAACCACTTGATTGCACTTAGGACCTTCATAATTCGCTTAGAAAATCTTTATAACATAATAAAACAGCTCTCCAAATTTCATTAAAATGGATTTAATAGATTTCGTACATTTTGCAATCTAATTTTTTTTTACCAACCGGTCAAAGTTGACCGGCATTTGCGACGAAGTTATTAACAATAGGATGATAATCTTTAAACCATTACCTTTTTCTTTCGGAGCTCTTTCTCGACAAAAATTGTCATATCTTCAAAACTTCATATTTTCAAAACCATCGGTATTGCGTGAGAAAAATAGCAAAATAATTAGGTTGAAAAAAATTGAATTTGAACTCGAATACAGACACCTAAAGTACGCGTTACAAAATCACAAAGGTGCTTTAGTTTTGTTATAAATAAATAAATTTATTTATACTCCAGTCGTCAGGCTGAAAAAACATGAAATTAACACCAGAAAGAGTTTAATTATGGTTTATTTTAAATTAAAACGCAAAATAATAAAATTGAATAAATCAGTCAACATAAAATGTGACGAAACCTCAAAATGTGACGTATTTGATTTTGATTTGCTTACAATGAAGTTTTGATTAGCGTTCGAACAATTAACCCTAAGAGTGCAGCTTTCTTATGCAATTTTTTAATTTTTTCGCAATTATAGTCAGTTTATATCATTAAAATTTGTCACTTTTTCATTAACCTGCCACTATCGAATTTCCTTTGGCAATCCTTTCATTTCCAATTCCATTTCCAATCTTCAAAACCTATGGCATGCAATGTGAGGCATTTGAACTATGCCTAAAAAACACTGAATTTAAACTTTCACATTACAAACGATCTAAAATATTTAAAACTTCTTCTTTTCGATTATACGAGTACGCTTTTCTAAACTACACAACTTCAGCTACAAATTTCACTCAATACCGTCTTCGTGGAAGTATTTTCGGTTACATGCAATCGTTTGTAATCTGAAATTTGATTTCACTGTTTTTTAGGCATATTTGAAATGCCTCACTGTCATAAGTGGTTGAACAATATTGAATAAGAAAAGGCTTGTTTCCCCCTCTTATATGTATTTATTTCTATTTTGCAGCAAGGGTAATAAATTAAAACATTTTTAACTAGCGGTATCTTATAGAAAATTTAATTGTCGCTATTTATTTTATTACGACTTTGCTCCAAAATGAACTGTTTTAAAGTTATAAGCAAAAAAGTACAAAAAAAAATCGATGTTTTTAGTAATTTTTAATTATTTTAAGTTTTTTATTAATATTCCCGAACTATTTTAAAGGGAGGATAAGTCAATTATTATTAATGAAGTTATTACACAACTTGTTTTGTAAAAATCTGAATGCCACCTCTCGCATCCAAATGCTAGTCGATTTTTCACAGATCCGTGCTGGTCTAAAAGATAACAACGTCAGCGAAGAAATTAAACGAAGCACAGTGCTTGCCAATAACTGTTACTATGGCTTGAGAAGACAAATGGCCATAAAACTACCCAGAAAAATTAAGTGGCCTTCTAACATTAATAAGACCATATGCAGGAGGACTACTTACCGTTTCGAGCGAAAAATCTTAAGAATATATGGAGCAAATAAGTAATAGTAATAATAGTAAGGTTTTTGTAGTGCAAGCGTTGCAATTTTGAGTTGTGTAGAAGTTTTAGGAAACTGACGTAAAATTCGTTAAGGTGGCATGCTTTAGTAGACCAGGACCTAGTGAACCCCCCGAGTAAGACTATGTCTTTGAGGCTAGAAATTCTTATACTAATGAGTCATAGTAACTCAGCTAAGTGCTGAGTTAAGTGCGGTAACCTAACCATCACCTGGCTCGCATCAGCCCTGCCTATCATCAACCACTATTATTTTGAAAGTGTAGAAATAATTAAAAAAAAAACTTGTTTCTATAATCTTGAAATTATTATACGATTTTATTTATTCATTGTGAAGTTTAAATAAAATTGACATGTTTTCGATGAGCACAAGTATCTGACAGGTGAACCGAAAGGTGTGTCGTATATAAATGAAAATAAACTTTATTCTGTAAAGTTGAAATTTATATATGTCTAAATGATTTAAAGTAAGTACGTAAAATGATAGACGGTTCTGGCTAGCGCAAGTCCTTCTCAGGTGAGGAGAAAGATGCTACGAGAGTGCAAGTAACAGAAGTAACGTGAATTCAGGTGGTGTGAGTGAGGCTATCTCGATGTTAGTTTATCTAAAGGCAAAATTGGTGGTGGTGGTACGAGTATACGGTATACAGTACAAATATACTTGTATACTTGTACTGCTTCTGTAGGAAGATTTTAAACGAAAAATTTCGTCAGTTGTACTAACGAATTATTTACCAGAAGTCGTATTTAACTATATTTCAAAGATTTTTTCTATTTTATGCATATTGTGAATTATTTGTAAGTTTAGAATTTTAATTATACAGGGTGTTCCGAAACCCTCCTGACAAACGAACACTGAAGATTCCTCAGGTAATTTTAAGACAATTTAACCCAACTTACCTTGTCCGAAAATTCTTCCTAAGTGAGCTAGAGCTCTTTGAAGATGGCGCCTTGTAATTAGTTTTTTAATACCTCCAGAAAGCTTCTAGTTAGAAAAATTAAAACTGGTACGATTATTTGTCATTCAAAGTTGAATCGATTTACTCAATTACGAATTTCTAGTACCGGTCATAGGCGTCCGTTTTGGGTAGGTCAACGGTTATTTTAATGCATAACTTCTTTGTCTTTAAGTTTTAAGCATTATGTTATACTAGATTATTAAATTTTAGGTATTCTAGTACTAAAAGGTACTCTTACTTTTAGTCGAAAAAGTTTTCTAGAAAAATGAATTTGAAAATTTTTCGTTTTTTCGTCAGTAAAGTTAAATTAATAGGTACCTTAATTAATTTTATAAATTATCTTTTGTTTTAATAAATTCAGCAAACAATTCGTAAAAAAAGTTTGGTAAAAAGAAGCAAACAATCAAAAGGGTTTTAAAAACAAAGTATTTATTACTATGGAACGAAACTAACACAACAGAACAAGTATCAAAAGTAGACAGTTATAAAAGATGCTCGATGTGATGAACATTAGTCTCTATGCATACATTTGCCCTTTTGTTAGAGAACGCCGAATTCTTGCAAAAATATAAAGTTATTTCTAAATTCGTTGCAAGCATCTTGTATCCTTAGCCAGAGTTGTGCACGATTTTGTATCGGAACTGAATAAAAAAATGCTTGTATGTATCATCAAACACAATAATCGCAAGGATTAAAATCCGGCGACCTTACTGGCCAAGCAACTGGACCGCTCTCTTCCAATCCAGTGGTCTTCGTAGTTATTATCAAGAAAGTCTCGTACATTCCTGCTAAAGTGGCCGGACAGCCGTCATGTAGAAACCATAAGTTTTGTCGAATATTCACCTCATCTAATGAAGCAGATAAAATATTTTGCAGGAAATATAAGTAATCAGCACCATTTAAACGAGCAGGCAATTCCACAGGCCCAAGTAGATAATCGTTAACTACTCATATCCAGACGTTTATGCTAAACCTATGCTGATGCTTAAATTCTTGAACAACGTGGGACTTGTCACCAACATAATAATTATATTGTGCATTATGCACATTAAAAATTACATTTTTTGTAAATGTAGCTTTGTCGAAAACAAAATACCTGAAAAAAATTACCATTTGTTACATTACTGGAAAACTATTTGGGAAGAAAAGTTTTTAAGTACCATTGTATTATTCACCAGGAAGCTCTTTGTGCCAAGGACCTAAACATGTCATCTGTTGTTGACCCTGTAACACGCTGCATTAACAAAATAAGAGCTCGGGCATTGAATCGACGACAATTTCGAGAACTGTTCGCGGAAGAAACGGAGCAAGATGGAGAGTTACTTCTCCATTGCAGTGTGCGCTGGCTCTCCAAAGGAAATGCACTCGAAAGGTTTTGGAACTTGAAGGAGTGCGTCTTAAAATATTTGCAAGAAAACAATGAACTACCCAGTGAGTGCTCGTTACTTAATGATAAAGATTGGCTTTGGGATTTAGCTTTTCTCACTGATATTATGAGACATTTAAATCTATTAAATTTAAGATTACAGGGAAAAAATTGTATTTTTCCTACTCTAGTTGGTCATATATCTTCTTTTGTGAATAAACTTATGCTTTTTTGTAACGATTTTGGAGAACAGAGATTGACACATTTCACATTAATGCAGGAATTAGCCAACAAGGTCAGTAGAACTCCAAATTATGACAGATTTAAAAACCTTATATCTATTTTGCTAGGTTCATTCAATACCCGGTTTGAAGATTTTCAAAAAGACAAAATGAATGTTGACCTTTTCATAAATCCTTTTTCTATTTCTCTGCAAGATATCAATTGTTACTCAGCTGAAATACAGATCGAAATTATTGATTTACAGAACCACACTATACTAAAAACCAAATATAGGGAAATTATTTCAACTGTTACTGATCCCAATTATATTGAATTTTGGAAATTTGTACCAGCAAACAATTTTCCTAATTTACACGAGTTAGCTCTGAGATATTGTTGTAGATTTGGTTCAACGTACGTTTGTGAGCAAATGTTCTCTATTATGAACATAATAAAATCAAAATATCGGTCACGATTAACTGACATGCATTTAAAAAATCTAATTCTGTTGGCTAGTTCCGAAATTAATCCCAATATAGATGAATTAATTAAAAAAATACAAGTTCAAATACCACATTAAATAAGTAACTGTTTAATAATTTGAATTTTAGATAATAAGAAAATATTTAAGTTTTTTTGTTTAACGTTTTTATTTTATTTTTATTAACAATAAAGTAAGTTTGTTGTTATGTTTTACTTATTACGTTATTTTTTAAACCTCCACTATCTTGACTAAACGGAAAAATGTGGAATTTACATAAGAAATACATATTGTACCGTATATTATTAATATATAGTATCCATATTAGTATGTCGAAAAATTTTAGTGGCACGCCAAATTTTTTTTGTTCTCATATTGGCACTCGACTTAAAAAGGTTGGCCACCCCTGATATATCCAGTTGGAATTATTCGTAAAACTGAAAAGTCAGCAATGATGAAAGCTTTGCAAGCAAATACCCTAACGAAGAAATACCAGAGCAGTTCGATGCTGTTAATTTTGATGGGTTTTATTTACCTTATACTATGAAAAACATTTTGTAATCTTTATAAAAAAGTATGTCTATTTTAAAGGGAAACACATACTCCACGAGTAGATATAATTTTCAATTAGTATTTTAATTGAATTGAACTTATAAAGAATGTCATATTTATAGTGTTCATAACAACTATGTTATCTCCAATATCAATGATAATCTATCATGCCATCATTAAGAAGCTGATACGAAAATAAAATATCATATATGCCAAATGGATAACGATATATCCAATGTTTTAATAAAAGCGTTCGACACAGGCATTTTAATAATAATGTTTGGAAACGTGTACCACCTTTGCAACAATAATTTAAAAATATTTATGGAATATGGCAAGACAAATTTAAAAAATTCGATTAATATTTCACAATTACACATTACACTAGGACCCTTTTTATGCCAAAGTTTAACTAGCTTTTACGCATTATCCGGATTATTACAAAAATATATTCTATTTCAGAAGAGTTTGCAGTATTAGTAGGATTTTTCCGATACCTGAAAAGTTTGGCTGTGAAATGTATGGGATGAAATCACCTTAACCTGTAACACCTTACAGGTGTTAGAGGTAACTTATTAGTGATGATTCCTCAAACCTCCATGTCAACGGAAACTGTAACAATTATTGCGATCTTTATATATTACAAATATCTGGCCAAATAATCATTTTAAAGTGCCAACGGTTCTTAAACCTAAAGATAATTCTCAATTTATTCGCGTGGATGAACCGTTGTCAGAACTGATAAACAATGCACAATTAATATTAATATATAATAGAAATTGTAAACTTAAAAATAATTCACAATATAAAGCAATAAAATTCTTTGAAACAGTTAATTACGACTTCAGGTAAATAAATCGTTTTTACAACTGACGGAATTTTTCGTTTAAAATCTTCCTGCAGAAGCAGTACGGGTATACGGTACACAGTACAGGTGTACCCACAAATTTTGCCTTTAGATAAACTGTCCCACTCACACCACCTGAATTTACGTTAAGTCTTACTTGCACTCTCGTAGTATCTTCACCTCACCTGCCAAGGACTTACGTTACCAGAACCGTCTGTCATTTCACGTACTTACTTTAAATAGTCTAGACAAACACATATAAATTTCAACTTTACAGAATAAAGTTTATTTTTATTCATATATGACACAACTTTCGGCTCACCTGTCAGGTATTTGTGCTCATCGAAAACGCCTGTCATTTTTTTAAACTTCACAACGAATGAAAAAAAATTAAGAACAAAAAAAAAGTTTTTCTTAAATGTTTTCTACACTTTAAAAATATAGGGATTGATTATGTACAGTACTAATGAATGTTAGGAGGTTATCGTACGACTCATCATCATAAGAATTTCTAGCCTTAGACACACACCGTTACTCGGAGGGTTCACTATCTCTCCTACTATAGATCGATAGGGCGTGCAATCAGGCGAGAGGGAGGTGCAACAGTCAGAAACATTTTTGGTCGTTGAGGACCAGAGGAAGAGTGAGACTTAGGTATCAAGACAACTTAGAGGACGACTTAAAATCTATTGGGAGTTATAGTATGGAGAGGAGTCGCCAGAGACAGTGGTGAATGGATGATTGTTCTGAAGAAGGCTTTGACTCATAATAAGCTGATGATTTTGACGTTTATTGGTTTTTTCTAGTCCGAGTGTCTATTTCTTTAAACAGGTTCATTCTTACAAGTCTTTTTGCTGAATAGTTTTCCTTTTTTTGCTATTCCGCTGTTTTTTATTATCTTTTCTAAAACTAAATGCAACAGAATTATCCATGACGCTGCTTCTTACCCTAGTCCCCTGCTTACTTGAAAATGCTCGGATCTTCAGATCCTTTTATATTATTTAATATTTTATTCTGTTTAACATCATTCTTGTTAATTCACCAATTTTTATTAGTATGTAACTGATTCATTGTTGCACAAATTTGATGTGCTATCGATCTATTACTATGGAAGGCAGCTTGATTTTTCTATGATCACATTGAACCACGTGTTCAGCACAGAAAATAAATACATATATGGTGACTGCACAAAAAGAAAACATTTTTGCCGGAATTATGACATTTTAAACGGAATTACGATAATATAAGAAGAGTATTTGAATATTTTAAGTAATAATAATGATAGTACTTTTTATACAATTGTATTGTAACTTATGTACTAACAACATTTTTATTTTATTGTTTGATTCTAAATTCATAATTTTTATTCTGTATTTTAGTTGGTTACTTCTTCAGCTGTTCCTCTCGTTAGATGTAGGCATAATGGATGACGCTGAAAAAAATAAACTCTGCAGTAGTTTCTCCAATCAGTTGGAATCTCTAGGGGAATGGGAATGGGCAATATTAGTGTTACTACATCTCAAAGACAATGCATTGAAAAAAACACTTGTCATGCAAATTTTAGATCGGAATCTTTCTCCGGATGTCGATAAAGAAGGAATTAAATCAGAAAATAATTTAGTTAATAATATGCATATACCACCAGAATGGATACATCGTGTGAAGGGCGAAAAAACCTTTTTGTGTCAAAGATATTTTGAAGCATTTAATCATTTTGCTTATGCCAAAGATTATTGTAAAGCAAATGACATTCTTGTAGCACATTTACTTCCCTCGTTATTCATTAACGAACAATACGACATTATAAAAATCTTAATTAGAGAGATTGAAGATGGATCAACGGACATTGAGCACTGGAATAGTGAAGCTGGTCTCTTTAAAGATTTTATAGAACTTCAAGAAAGATATGTTTCTGCTAGCGATAATTTGAAATTACAGATGAATTTACAGAATATTAGTAACAGAATAGCCAATTTTGTACCTAAAACAAATCACCAAAAGCTCTGTATTGCCGAAATGTCAAAAAGATGTGCTTCAGTATATAAAGAATTTTGCAAGAAATCTCAATCGAATCTTTTCAGAAATTCCTATCTAGAATTTATAGAAAGTTTAAATATGCCGCCAGAATTTAAACAGAATGAGGCTTTATATTCAATTAACGAAATAGGGGCTAAGTGTTAATTTTAATTTTGTTGGTGTGTTAAAACAAAAAAAAACGATTTTTTTTAAATTTTATATGAAAAGAGTGAATAGCCAATAGTGCCATAAATTTCATATGACCGCAGAACTTGCAATAAATATTTTAAAATGTAAAAATCAACTTAATATACTTATATTTGGAAACTATTATCTCCAGTTATATTATTTTATTGAATTGTAAGGTTGTTATCAGCCTAAAAGTTTTGTATATTATTGTACCCATTAAGCACACACATTTTACCTCCAAGCATTTCTGAAAATATAAAAAAAAAATAGAAACAAAAATTTCTTAGCTGTTTTTCTCTGATGTTCAGAAAAGCGTCACCCTAATACTGAAGGAGTGTAATCTCTGCGACAAAATTACCCAGGGGTTGGGATTTTAGACCCTTGCATAGACTGACATCTATATAACCTGACTTAATGTTTACAGTTTGTTTAGTACATTGACATAAAGTACCTAGGCTGCGCGTTGCAGTTCTTGCATCTCTTCCCGTTCCTCCAGTGCGAAAGAGAAAAAAATGCGGGACACATATTTTTTATTTTTAGTTATCAATTTATATTTTTTTAAATAATTTGAAAATGTAGATAAATATACCAGGTAATTATATCTATAATTATCTTCTAGAATATAATTCATATCGCGTACATGGTAATAAATACTTAATATATACTTAATAATAAGTTCAATTGCCTTTTATTATATTTTTAAAGATACTGACATTTATTATTTTCAAGATTTACGTACAGATTTAATAATATCTAATAAAAGTAATATTGATTAATATTAAATTTATAAAAAAAAATCAGTAAAAGAATTGAACCCCGATTATCCACGTCCGAAAGCAAAGACAATACCCGTCGTTACCTCTCTCTGTTACGTTAAACATTACTCCTCACTTGATGGTAATGTGATAGATAAACCCCAACCATTAGAAAGAGATGCATGGACTGCTCGCATCTTTTTCTCTGTCGCATTGAGGGAACGGTTTTAGATTACAACGTGCAGTCTACGTATTATATGTCTTTGGTTTAATAACAATTTGAACACAATTTATTTATAGACGTATAAACGTTTATATTGATAACAATAATGATATGGACGTCAAATTTACGATTTGCAAAACTGAAATTCTGAACTGACTGAAATTCCAACCATCGGAATTTAAGGGTAAAATCCACAACCTACTTTAATCAGATTTTTTTGATGACTCGTTATTTTGTGTGCTAGCAATCTGTATTGCTCAAAGAAGATTTTTATTGCTCTTTGCGTATACTAATATCTATTTGTTCGTTAATAATCAATTTAGTATTTTTAAGGCGGCTATTTTTCAAAAATTTTCGTAAGTATAATTATTATTTTATTTTTTGGGTTGTTTACATGACATTTAAAAATTATGGTTGAATTAATGTTTTTCTACAATTAAATGATTGGCCTATATGGTTTACCCAACAACAAAAACATAAAAAAGCTTACACTCGAAATATTTGAAATTAATTACCTTAAAATATTTACGATATCTAAGTAGGCAAAAAAGCAATATAACCTTCTCTTAGGAATACAGATTATTAGCGCATATAAATATTTGATTTACAACTGTCATTCTTCTGGGGAAACTGATATTTCAACTAAATATGAAAATTGATTATATTCTGTGAAAATTATGAACAGTGTTGTGTTTTATAGTAGGTATATTATTGAACATGGATTTACATCAAGTAGTCCCCCATTCAATAAAGAATAGTGGTATCATTCCGTTTGGAGCCATTTAAGTATTATGTAAGCAGATTTATTAAAATTATTTGCCCCTATCCCCCCAGTCAGCAAAAGTAAGCAAATCTGTACTGATCGAGCCATTCAACATCCTGGGGCTCTAAATTTTGAATAATTCATGTCAGTTCATTAGCACGACTAAGCACTTATGAATCTTCTCGATGATGATTTTGACTTAGACACACGATAAAGACCACGTTTTGCACGTTCGACTTAATAGCTTCAATTTTACCATTGAACAAAAATAATCGTAGAGCACTTGCAGAAAACCTTTGAATGAAGCATTTAAGCGTAGAGCTAAATTGACTGAAAGATTGAGAAATTGCCTTTCATCATCCAATATCAAATCATCAACTTTTAGTTGTTTGATTTACTTTTACTGGTGATGGGAGAAACCTGTTGTCTAGTAATCTAAATAAGCCACTTCTTGGACGACAGCATTTATTTCCATTTTGAAGCAAGTATTAGCTTTCACGCACATGCTCTGAATACCATTTAATGTCTGGGAAATCAGGAAGATCTTGTTTGCCCGGCTCAACATATTTTGTAGTAACATGATAGCCATCAATTTCCATTGAACTCCATACTTCAGCTAACACATTTCCTGCAAACCCGAAATTGAATATTTGTAAATGTTAATTAATTGTAACGCCGTGGTGTAACGCGTTCATTCAAATGAGACCCACAATGGTTATGAGGCAATATCAAACCAGCCAGTTCACCACTAAGAGGAGCCATTCTGCGCTCTATTCTGTTATACGGTATATGAATATTAGCAATAGATGAACTATGTTTTCAACTTCAGATAGCGATGTATATCAAACGGTTTGTGATTGTCCTAGCATACTGAAAGTGGTTTTGATACCTGCATTAACTGATAGTATTACTTTGCGCAACTCAACGATTACCCAGTTGTGATCAGGCAAATTGATTCTATATTCAATGAACATTAGAAGAGGTGCTTGCTTATTTGCCGCTGTTACGCCAATAGGGACCCGAGCTTTATTATGTTGAGATATAAAAAATATTTGATCTTGTCCAAGTATGAATGCCTATGTTCTCCAAATATTGAATTGTTTCAGCCAGATAATCCCAAAGATATATCCCACTTCGACTAATGTCAAATTCTATTTTACGTAATTCTTGTCTGAGTTCATCAAGAGTTTTTACACTGCGAATAGATTCCGTTCGTCTTCTATTATCTGCTGCACCCTCAAATAAAGCAATATCCGCAATTGTTTTCAATAGTAATGGTTGATCATTTTTACTCTAGGACGTCCCACTGAATCCCTCAGAGATAGTTTTTTATTTCTGGATTTTCATGAAAAAATTATTATTTCTTGAACTTCCGTTTCATACCATTTCTGTATTTCTTCTGGGTAACTGCGTTTTGAATCTTCCTGTTTAAAGCCTGTTTCGCTGTTTTTAATTCTTCGCGCAACTTAATTATCCGTTTATCAACTTCAACACGGCTTGACATAGTACCTCTAGCAGAATACAAAAGCATAAAGATTGTTTTCTAGTAGAGCAATCTTATTTTTCATAGCTTCCTGAGAAAGTTTTGCTCTCGGCTGTTTATCTGTGTTTTCGCATTGCTGTTGTGACTCTTTACCGGGTTTTATGTCGTCTTCTTACTGTTTTTAAGCTGACGTATAATTTGTGTTTTGTCTGCAGACTAATGATTTTCGCTGCATAAAAATTAAATAATTATATTGGTACCGCTATTATTAAGCTTCTCTTATTAGGATGCAAAAATATAAAGGAGTGGCCAAAAAGGGTCTTTACATACACACTATAGTGATTACATTTAATATGTTTAATTTACTTTAACATGACGAAAATTAATCTGCAGTTTCATACATTTACATCAACGTATAACTGAAAATATATCTGGCATATATACTTTTTCATGTGGGAAATTTGCTTACATTTTATACATTTTGCAAGAGAAAACCGATTAATCAACTCAAAATTCTTTTTTACTTATCAATCCTATTTCTTATTGTGATCGAAATATTCATATGCCACATAAAAACTACATTTAAATATTATTTAAAAGCCACATCCGGGAATGAGCTTGTCAAATACAGAAAATGAATACCCTGTATTTTGTGACCAATCGACGGTGCCTATCGTAAGAAATAGATCTATCTAATGAACATTACCTCTAAAATTTTGTGGTTGTCATAATAGTATCTTCTAATCATTAAACGTCCAAATTATTGTTTTCTTTACAAAATGTAAAGAGAAAGTTTTTTGCTATTTCTAATATTCCTAGTTGATACTCTGATACCTAAGATGGTTTCATCACTCACCTTAACGTAGTAGATTGGATTTGTCCTTAGTCGTTGCTTGCAATTATTCTTCTTTAATTCTCTTAGACAATAATATGAAATTCTTTGTCGATCTTTGCTTGTAACTTATAAATACGCCAACACTTCGTTAATTAACTTCTAGACATTTTGTACTTTCGTATTTGTATCAGATTTTTTAAAACTTTCCAACAATTTTTGGTATAACTTGGATTTGTCTATTTGAAACGATAATTAAATAATTTAATTTTGGCGAAAGTGGATTAAAGTTAACACAAACATTAACTTGCTTTGCTTACATCAATCGTACCGAAACAAAACAATATATTGACGGAAGTAATACTTAAACAGACCATTTCCGGTTGAAAAGTGCCTTCTTTACTTTCATTGCTTTCTAAAATATCTAATCGATGTTAATTGTGATACTCAAATAACAGAAGTCAAAACTTATCTAACGAACATTTTGCGAAATTTTTGGCAACAAACAAAAGTGTTTCATTGATTTCGACGAGATTTTTACGTTGATTTCCATTATTGCACATTATTAATCAAGCTCTATTAATTTACCTGTTTACATTCAACATAAATTGATTTATGCATTAAAAAGGAAATGGGTTCTTGTGAAAGCGTTGCTTATGAACTTTAATCTCTGTATCATCTGCTTGGTAAGCGTTATTATAATTATCATGCTAAGGGATGCGTTAACTTAAATAACTCTTAAATTGGAAACAATTCTTAAATAAATAACAATCTTCTGCTTTGAACACGATCAAAGTACACGATTTAAGTAGATCTGGATTTCTCAAAGTCATTTATATATATAACAATCGATTATTTGAGAAAAGATAGTAATGGCATATCTTTTTTGTATCAAGTATAAACACACATTGCAGACGTGGTGAAATTATTAAGTACCATAAACTCTAGATTTTCTTCTTTACAAATTTTGTTCCTATTACAAAATTATAAGGTAGTATCATTTTATAAATATAAATTATTTTTCCGTTTTGCTAAAAAAAGAATAGTAACTTTTGATGACATTGATACTTTGAGGTAAGAGATCTAGGTTGACATTTCTAGAATGAACTTTTTTACAATTTAACAATAGGGCTTGTTCTCTCTTATAAAGTTTAAATTTTATAAATTTATTACTGATAGATGTAACATAAAGAAATCGTTTTTTATAGTTATTGTCTAATAATTGTATATAACTTTAAGTTTAGTTCATTAAACGAAACTAGAAGGTAAGTTAAATTCTTAATTAGTAAGTAACTTTACTTGTAGTGTTCGATAAATCTAAATGCAAATTTTGAATTATATATCTTATCTTTGTTTTCCAAATAATTAACGGAATTGGGGTTAAAGTATGATATTTGAAGGCGTATTAAAAAAAAAACAACAAATCTTATATCGAAAATTTCAAAAGCATAAAAAACCATATATAGCTTCTGTTGAAGTCTACGTATGAATAATGTCTAACAACAAAATATTCTTAGACCTAAAATAAGAACTTTTTGGATTTATCGAGTTCTTAAAAAAACATTTACTATTTTTAGTTTGAATATTTTAATTAAACAAAATAAAATAAAGTATTGTTGACAAACCTAATTGTTTTCCAGTAATATGAAAATTTTCTACTATTTATATAAATTTTGAGAATTATTCAAATTTTTGTAAGTTACATACTTTGTAAGTGCCGTCTCTCAATCGAGGTTGGATAATATCATCAGCACTATCTTTACTTTATTCAGTCCCTTAAATTTTTCAACAATGGCACTCTGCTTCTTGCTATACTCCTTCCTCTTTTTATCTTTCGTTGTATTATTAATCTTAGCATTTCATATTGCTGTCCCCTTATTACGTGTCCCAGATATTGGTAAATTTCTTTTTTTCTATTGAGTTTATTATTTCGTATTCTTTGCCCATTTCTCGCAATGCTTCCGTGTTCATTTTCTTCTGTGTCCATGTTATTCTAAGCATCCTTCTGAGAGACCACATTTCAAAAGACCACATTTTCCAATTATTGAAAGCATCATATCTTTTGGTTTAGACTGCTTTTTCTATTTCTTTTGATTCTGTGATCTCAAGTTTTCACAATAACCTTCTTGATAGAGATGCTTTTCAGTTGTTAATAAACTTATTATATTCTGTTACAAATTTAATTAAATCGAAATTATTGAAAAATAAAGAATATGATTTATAAAAAATATCTAATACTTAAATTTAACTTTTTGATAACTTGTCAACAAATCATCATCATCATCATTCTGGGTTTACAACCCTGCGTGGGACCTATCCTCCTCAAGAATTTCTCTCCAGTTGTCCCGATCCATCGCCTTCCTCCGCCAAGCACATATTCCCTTATTTCTCATGTCTTCATCGATGTTATCAAGAATCCTTGTTCTGGGTCTTCCTCTTCTTCTCTGACCAATGAGTCTATCAAGGAGCGTTTTTCTAGCTGAGTCATTTTGTTCCATCCGCATGACATGCCCTATCCACCTCAGACGTCCTATCTTAATACGTTGCTGGTTTTTGGTATATTGTATAAAGTTCGAAGTTGTATCGTCTTCTCCACACTCCATTGTCATTCACTGCTCCATAGATTCGACTTAAGTCTTTTTTAGAAACATCCAAACATGTTTTCATTACTTTTTGTTAGAGTTCAGGTTTCTGAACCATGTTAGGACTGGGCATAATATTGTTTTGTAGAGTTTTATTTTTGTTTGAGAGACAATATTTAAGAGAACATGATCATGTGATTTTTTGGATACTTACAGCTCCTTCCAAAATCAAAAACATTGTTTAAAAGTTAACAGTTAAAAGCAGACG